ATACAAGACAAATCTTATGGATAACAACTTCTTGGTTTACTTTTCACAACGTTTCTGAGCTAGTTCTTGCCCCTTCTTCAGGTGAATGGACCATAGATGCTCTGAAGCTTGGATAGTAAATCTGTGGTAGAAGCTGTAGATCCAAGTCTCATGGCCACTCTAGCCGCCTCCCCTTTAAGAGATCTGCAGACAGCCTGATTCATAACATCTAAGGTATAACATTTTGACTGAAATAAACAATCAACTTCATAGGACCAGAGATCAAAAGGAGCATCCTTTCCTGTTTCATTCCCGCTAAACAGAGGTAGTTTGGGAAATTGGTAATAAGCCAAAGCCTGTGCTTTGCTTTCCACTGCAGCAGGTGGTACTGTCTTGGTGTGTAGACAGGGCTCTTGCTTTGGTAAGGGACCAGGTTGCTGAGCCATTCCTTGATCCATGCCTTGAGGTCCTCCGGTGATTGATCCTTTGGATCCATACCAAGCTTCCGGAAAAGATTAGCTACAGACTCCATTTCCTCTTCCTTAAACTCCATGATCCCAGAGAACAGGATCCACGAGTAATAGTATAGTTAAAGTAGTCAGGTGAACGAATAAAAACGAAGGAAGGGAGATGTAGAATCGAAAAATACCTTATATTGGTAAGCCTGTGAACGGGTTACCATGAATGTAAAGCAACGAAATAATCAACGCCAGGTTGATATCCATCGGTCATGGATGTGTACTGCACGCGTAAATGCGGACAGAAATAATAACATACGCGCACGGACGGATTGTATTAATTCCTAACAATGACGTTTGGTAAGCTACACTTCAGTGAGGCGATAAGTCAGTGTCACATGCTTATTGGGTTAGTGAGTATGCGGGAGGGATTAAACAATGGTGAGTGCCAGGGTAAAGTGCTCGTCAAGTGGTCACAACCCTAACAAACTACACACAAAAAGGTATCCTATCTAATCAAGATGTAAGAAAAACTACTTGGTAACCAACTGGCCTAACTGTTTCAACAGATAATTTGAGTGCCTAAGTTAACTTAACTGTTGACTAAGTTGATTTGTTGAAATGATTATTTAAAGCAGTTACTCTTACTTTAGTTAAAGTGTACAATAGGCAAAGTAGAGAATAATTCACACAGACCACATATTCACACTCAACTTTTCAAACTAATGAAATAAATAAACAGCAAATATTATTTAACTTATTAAATGTTTATATATCAAGGACGATAAAGTATTCACACAAACACATGTACATACATCAACATCAATTGCCTTTTTATTAGGATGACAGATGGATCACAAAGTATTCTTGTGTGGTACCCTGAAAATATAAACTAAGCTAAACTAAACTAAACTAAACTGAAGTAAACTAAAGGTAGTACATGAGGAGAACTAAGCCGGCATACACATTTCCGCTAACAAACGCATAAATGCAAGTGTCTACACTGTTGTTGATAGGCCTGTATGTAAAGTGATATTTACACGTTCGTAATGTACACAGCTGATGAAGACAATGCCATTGTACTCAACAGTTCATGAAGTCTTGACTGTACCGCACACTGTAGACCGCGTTCTCAGCGCCATAATAATACGCCAACTCAGGAATACGTAGATGCGTACTTCGTTCAACATTGGTGCTCACTCAATGCCAAATCCTTTCTGGAGGCTCCATTTGTAACCGGGGGTGTTCAATCATGACACACGGGTCGGGTTTGAGTTTCAAGGATTTATTGGAGGAGTATAAGTCAGAACAAACTCCCCTGTGGGTAGTACTGGGCCGCGGACCAGTTGATCATTTCCGCTAACAGGAAATATTGTCTTCACAGTATAGAGAATAGTATGGGGAAACCTGCTTCCCTTTACAGGTTTATGAATACTCTGCTTGGTAAAGGACGTGATGGTGATAGAGTACCTCCCGGACAAAGTCACGTGGGACTCGCCGATTCCTTCAACTCATTCTTCATTTCAAAGATTGATACCATTCGACAAGGACTTTCAGCCAAGAAAGTTGATAGGTGTTTTAGTGAACCGCTCTTCACAGGCGATCCACAAACCCAGTTTGCGCCCTTCACCCCCAAGGACATTGAATCAATTATCCGCTCTTCAAAGCCTACCACTTGCGACTCCGACCCCATACCAGCTAAACTTCTGTTTCAATATCTTGACTTGTTGCTGCCAAGCATTACCAATATTGTCAACTCAAGTTTGGAGAGTAGTGTATTTCCAAACAGATTCAAGCATGCTGTAGTCAAACCTCTGCTAAAGAAACCTGATCTTGACTCTCAGAATCTTCAGAACTTTCGACCTGTCTCAAATTTGTCCTTCATTTCCAAGATAATTGAGAAGGCTGTGCATGTCAGACTCAAAGACCATCTCTCTAAACATCTTCTGTTTGATGAATTCCAGTCAGCGTATCGGCAATACTATAGTACAGAGACTGCCTTATTGCAAGTGACGAATGAGCTTCGTTGTGCTGTTGATGATGGTAGGATTGCTGCTCTAGTGTTGCTGGACCTCTCTGCAGCCTTCGACACAATCGATCACCATAGGCTCTTGTCCAGGCTCAAACAACAGTACGGACTTGAAGGTCATGCCCTTCAATAGGTGACGTCTTATCTATCTGACCGACAGCAATCTGTTGTCGTTGGCACTGAGAGATCAAAAGGCACCGTAATCACATGTGGGGTGCCACAGGGATCAGTCCTTGGTCCAGTCATGTTTGTATTGTATACCGGATATGTCGGAAGGATTATTACAGACCACACAGTTTCTCACCATGCCTACGCTGATGACACCCAGCTCCTGAAAGCATTTTATCTGTCAGATCTCTCCACGTCTCTTCAGTGCATCGCTGAATGTACGCAGGACATCAAGTGCTGGATGACAGGAAACATACTTAAACTTAATGACACAAAAACAGAAGCAGTTCTCATTGGTACAAAGCAACAACTAAGCAAGGTCAAAACCGACTTCCTTACAATCGCAGACGCAGATGTCAGTTTCTCCGATGTTGTTAAGGATTTGGGTGTCCACATCGACTCTTCCTTGACTCTGGATGCTCATGTTAACCGGCTGAGCAGGACCTGCTACTTTCACCTAAGATCCATTGGTAACATTCGGCAATAACTGACAACTGCTGCAACTCAAGCCCTTGTTCGAGCTCTTGTTACATCTAGGCTTGACTACTGTAACAGCATCCTTTCAGGCCTCAGTTCTAAACTCCTTGATAAGCTTCAGAAGATCCAAAACACTTCCGCCCGCATCACCAGCAAGACGTTCTAAACGTTCCCATATAACACCGGTGTTGAAAGAACTGCTTTGGCTACCAGTTAGGGCCAGAATTGACTTTAAGATTCTCTGTCTGACATACAAGTGCCTCCATGGTTTGGCTCCCTCCTATTTGTCTGAACTCCTACATCCGTATGTCCCCGCACGCAACTTGCGCTCAAACACACAAAATCGACTGGTCATCCCATCCTACAAACTGAAATCCTTTGGACACAGATCATTCTTTTACTCTGCACCTGTGCTTTGAAACTCTCTCCCATGTGCCATTAAAAGCTCTGACACAATTGACATTTTTAAGTCCAGACTTAAAACCCACCTTTTATCAGTATATTATGTATAATTTCATCTGTAAATACTCCAGTGTAAATATTCTGTAGCGCTTTGAGCATGCCTTAGGGGGTGGAAAGGGCACATTATAAATATGCATTTATTATTATTATTAATATACCAACCTTTTAGATCGGCAAACATTCGTTTGTGCACGTATAGCAATAACATCAGATCTTAGTATTTATGGATAGCGAGAATTATGATGTAATTACAATGAGTTACACCAGTTAGACCGAATCAGATTTCTGTACGTCATGCATATATGGAATATACATGTAGTCCAAATATAGCTGTACACATAGTGGAGCTGAAGGGGTCGTTGTCGGCACAGGTACTACAGATACGTTTCTGTATACAGATATGTACCCTAAACAAAGTCAAAATACAGAAACGTACCCGGTACCCTAAAAGGCGGACGAGTCCATATTCCGCCATCCCAAACCGACACCGCATGTAGTTGTTCCCGTTCAACTGATTCCGAGTGGTATTCATGTGCATCGCGAAATATCCGTTACTGTGTATTCTCATTACTAAAATAACGTGCAATCAAATGTATCTAATACAACAGCATGACAGTTCCGATCAAGAATACGACACAGTGGGAATGGAATCGTCCTAGGGTACGTTTCTGTATTCTAATTATGGCCAGGGTACATATCTGTATACAGAAACGTACCTGGGGTACATATCTGTAGTACTCGTGCCGACAACGACCCCTTCAGCCATAGTGGACGCCAGACGCCGCGTCTCTTGTTGATCTTTAAAATACATGGTACAGGCCGGGCTCTCTGTTTCAGAATTACACAAATCAGGGGCGGATCCAGAGGGGGGCTGCGGGAGTGCGCACCCCTACCCCCTTCTCCCCCGAAAAGAAAATTTCCAGAGGAGCATTTCCCTCTAACCTTTGGAATTCATGATATATATATACGTGCACCCCATTCTCCAAATTCCTGGATCCGCCCCTGCAAATATTGACAAAAGATTATTGTTAATTGCAAATCGATCTACTATGTGTCGCAGTAATGGATGTCGACTTACAAGTAAACCATATCTACAGAGTTGGTTCAAGCCCCGCTGAGAAATATTTTTTACAAAAAGGGGGATTTTTAAAAATCATTGTCATGAGTGTCAAAAGAAACTACGTTTTTGTTGTTGTTGATTTAGATCTATATATTTTTTTAAATCATTGTCCATTTTTCATTTCACGCCCCACCCCTTCGTAATTTTTGGCGACACTTCTTCGAAGGGTACCATTGACTTTTTGTACGCCACACACGTACAGATTTTTCTAAGCGTGATGTTGGCAAAAGGGAGGTAACCAGGTCCTACCGTGAATGTAACAACAACCAATCAGCGTCCGTCTTTCTTGTCAAACAAGCCAATCATAGTCCTCCTTTCATTTATATCGCCGCTTGTGGTAGGAAATTCAAAATCTAGGAAGGCTTGTCTGATGAGCCGTAAGTCGTGAAAGAAAACAACAAACATGGAAACACAGGTACAGTCTTACAGTCAGTGCGAGGATGAGCACTAGCAGTCGTATATATATGTTACTCAGAACCTTAAGACCATTGCGATTGTCTCGTCGTCAGCTGTGCAGTGTGCCGAAGTTTGTTTTATGCACATCAAGCCCCGATGTTGTTCCGCGTTCAATGTTATCGTTTATCATGTTTATTTAGCAAAGGACTTTGTCAATGTCAAGTCTGTTTATAGATAAGTTACACATTATTGCGGATATTTTCGGAAACCATTTGCTACAGTGCTAAAACTGGAATGACCAGCTGATGACTTGTCAACCTGTCGTGAAATCACTTCGGGCCATCTTTTCATTCATTTTCAAACGTATTTTCGCTAATGACTCAATGTTCAGTGGTATTATACTTCCTTTTAATACCTTTAACAACATAACTAATCCCTGCGTTATGTGCAGTAATGACACATGACAGTCATCAGAGATCTAATACTCTAGCTGCTTGTCTAGATACTGATACTAATTCATAAATCCATGTTTTCGCTTTGATGTATTTGTGCTAGTTTTGTCTGGTTCAAGTATGTCAATATTCACACGGTGCAGAGTGAAATAAAGTTCCTTATTTTGAGCCTAGAAATATATATCACCTTTAGAATATTTGGTTCCCAAAAATAATTTCTAGTATCCCAGAATCCTTGACAGTAGAGCTGAGGGGGTCGTTGTCGGCACGGGTACTACAGATATGTACCCCAGGTACGTTTCTGTATACAGAAACGTACCGTGGCCATAATGAGAATACAGAAACGTACCCTAGGACGATTCCATTCCCATTGTGTCGTATTCTTGACTGGAACGGTCATACTCTTGTATTAGATACATTTGATTGTGTTATGTAAGTAATGAGAATACACAGTAACGGATATTTCGCGATGCACATGAATACCACTCGGAATCAGTTGAACGGGAACAACTACATACGGTTTCGGTTTTGGATAGCAGAATATGGACTCGTCCGCCTTTTAGAGTACCTGGTACGTTTCTGTATTTTAACTTTGTTTAGGGTACATATCTGTATACAGAACCGTACCTGGGGTACGTATCTGTAGTACCTGTGCCGACAACGACCCCTTCAGCGACAGTAGACTACCAGAATTTGGTCCTCTAACATTAATTTTCAAATGGTGGAACTTGGAGCAAAGATATTTTTCACATGCTTCTTATTGCATTTTTTAAAAAAAGCTAGATTAAAGAACAGATGTCAAATGACAAGGTAAGGCAAGTAGAAATGATGTTAACTTAAAATGTGGGAGCACCTTTAGAATACAGCACCACAACTTCTCGTGCGGACAGTGTCTGTTGTAGGTGATGTGTCACTGGGAGAAGGTACTTATTAGTGAAGTAAATCTGCCATACATCTTTCCTTCCAACTGAAACATCATATTCAGTTTCTCTAAGTAATTTCTTCCCATTGTCACATCAGAATTGTGATAGCCATGGGTCATCAATTGGTAAGATTCCAGAATACCGGATACCTTCCGCCATCTTTGAAAGCACGCAAGTTTACTTAGGGTTAGGAATAGGGTAAGGTTTAGAGATAGGCTGAAGTGACACTAAACAATATGGCTGATAGGTATCTGGTATTCTGTAGGTGAACCCATCAATCTGTTTGTTTTGGTGATATTTGACGTGTCAGCTTGGTCAAAGTTCAAAATGTTCAATCCAAATTACCATGAACACTTCTTGAGTTACCAATATGTATTTTCAGCGGAAACCATTAGCAACGAAAAACATTGGCGGCAGCAAGTTGCCTATGCCAGGGAGCCGACTTAAACCCCCGCAGTCTGTGAGTGTGAAGCGATCTCGCAGTTCAGAAGAAGACTCTGCTATTGTAAGGATTTATGTTTATCTTTTACCATGTTTATCTGACAATACTCACATAGTTACAAAACATGGATTACATGTTCAATGATATAGTGTTGTTGACATGTACTTCCCATATTTACCAGGTTTACTGGTATCTGTGATCATGTGACCCGTGAAGATCCGGGGTAGAATAGGTCTTCAGCAACCCATGCTTGCCACAAAAGGCGACTCTGCTTGTCGTAAGATGCGACTAACAGGGATCGGGTGGTCAGGCTCGCTGACTTGGTTGACAGTGACACATGTCATCGGTTCCCAGTTGTGCAGATCGATGCTCATGCTGTTGATCACTGGACTGTCTGGTCCAGACTCAATTATTTACAGACCATCGCCATATAGCTGGAATATTGCTGAGCGCGGCGTAAAACTAAACTCACTCACTGTGATCATGTTCATGTACCTCCTTCCACACCTTTTTTAAAACATGCATGTCTATACATCTGATACATGAAGACCCTTGTAACATAGGCAGAAACAATAGATTATTGCCCAAGCATTGTTATCTTGCAATTGATATGTCCACAAATCCATCTAAGTATCTTACAATGGCAATTTCTTATCACAATAACATGATAAGCTAGTGAACCTTTTAGAAGTTGTCTGTGTTTGTGACTGTGAGGGAGGCAGGCAGCAGATGCTTAACAAGATTAGTTTAAGTAGTTGTAAGCATCATGAAGTTGGTTGCTATATACTTCAGTGGAGTTATGAAAGTCACCTGGACGCTTCTATCACTGGTTCGAACTCTGAATTCCATTCATGTGTAATGTTTTACAGGTTTCCAATCCAAACCCAGGGAAGAAGTTCCGTTCTGAGGCCCCTCCAGCTAAGATGAATCGTAGCGTGTCAGTTTCCTCCCTCAACAGTACTCGGCCAACACGGCCCACCAACACCTCACAGAGACGTCCCCCAGCAAGACCAACTTCACGATCTAGTATGTCTGTGTGATTGATGAAGTCCTCAATTTCTAACATTCACAAATAGTTGAGAATTTCTTTAAGTGTAAAAACGTGAAACCAACTATTTGATGACATAATAAAGTAATTATCATGTGCATGAATATACTTCATGTTGAACAAACTATCCGCATTTCTTAGAAAATTGGGTTCAATTTTACAGCATTGTAAACAATGACAACTCCTCAATTTCATCCTGGGTCGAAATGGCCTGTGTTGTGCTTCATTGTTTGGGCATGCCAGATTTTTCCCAAGGTTTGTCCTGACACTGCTGGTGTGGTTACGTTCGTCACCTCCAACACCGGTTTTCTCATGTTTCCTCATGTGACGTTCTGGATGAGGGGCATTTAGGGCCAGCCCTATGTTGACTGGTTTCAAGTCAAGTACCTGGATATGTGATTCTCAATAATGACCTCAGCTTCCAGAAAAGTATCCTTGTCCTGACCTATTCTGTTTGCATTACCAGATGCCAACTTGTCCATCACAATATCAGGCCCGCCAAGCAAGTGTGCCCCGCCCAAGAAGCCAGCTCCAGGACCCACAGTACCCAAGGCTGCTGCTGCAGGTCAGTCGATAGTCATCAAACAGACAAACTGAAACATGCTCCCAAACCTGTGAGACAACAATGTTCAAAATTAAAATGCAGTTACTGAGGGCGGTACCTGTGGTATTTGAATCCAGGATGGGGTCATTTTCTATGATGTGGACTGATTGCCGTCCAAAATATTTTGTCAGATTTGCTTAACATATGGAACAATTATCCCCTCAAAGAATGAATTTGAAAACAATCTGGTAAAGGTTTTGATACATTGGGTTCTACCAAATCACTGCTTTGTGGTTGTGAATGTATTAATACTAATTTATACTGATACACTTCACAGCTCTAACCTTGTCCCAAGCTGTCTCTGTCATGGAGTGTGTCTCTGTGTTGTAGGTGGTAAGAAGCGGGCAGCGTGGGATCTGAAGGGGCGGCTCCATGACATGGAGCAGGTGCTCCAGCATAGAGACCAGATCAGCTCATCGCTCCAGACCCAGCTGGAGAGCTACAACAACAGAATCAACACGCTGGAGTCACAGAACATGCAGCTGAGTGGCACTGTCGCTGAGAAGGAGCAGCTGTCTTCTGAGGTCTACAAGGAGAATCAGGAGGTCATTCGCAAACTAAGGTACAGCAACGACCTCAGTCAATATGTGTTACCCATGTCGTACCTTCTCACAACTCCGTGACTTCCAAGACTTTGAAAAAAGTAGGAGCCATGGTTGATGCTATAATTGAATCATACATTACTCTAATATGGTACCTCCTCGCAAAACAATACCACAGCCTTTCCACAGGATGACAGGTGTCGGCTTAAATTATCTAACTTCAATGAAATTGCTTGACTCACTGTATATTCTTTTGAAAATCTGACCTGAATTTAGAGAATCCTGAAAATGTTTAATATACACACACACAAAAATTGTATTTCAATCAAGCAGATATTTGTGGGTAGTTATGAAGAAGATGGAGTGATGTTTTATGACAAAAGAATCCAGCCAGGGTGGTTACACTACTGATGCTACATGTTACAGAGCCACACAGGACGAAATGGATGACATGAAACGCAAGTTTCAGCGTGAGATTGAGGACCTCAACTACAGCAAGTCATCTCTGCAGAGACAGAAGGAAAACCTAGAAGGCGAGGTCTCTGCTTACCAGAAGGAGGTCTCTGGGCTCAAGTCTTCCATTGCTGAGGTGTCGTCTGCTCAGGCCAAGATTGGGGCAGAACTTGAAGCCACCAAGGTATTCCAGTTTCACTCTTGATTTCAGTCAGAGATAAGTTTTGACTGGCATCTTTGACAAAGGATGTAATATTTGGGATTACACTTTCACAGTAAAGCCCATGTTCTATTGCTATGTGGTTGAGTCACTTCCAGGATTTGAACCCACACTCTCAGAGTCAGACACCTAACAGCCAATTTGAACACTTTCTAAAGGCATTTTGGTATTCATGGAAGTTTTAAGTATGTTCCTAAAGTAGTTGGATGAAAATCCTTACTTTTAGCTATAGCTTGTGTCGACATTGGATGTTTCGAATTTCTGAATGTTTTAAACTTACCTCCTAGTCCCTGTGAATTCCTTCTATATTTTTAAACTTGTCCTATCTCACGGTATGCACTTCTCTCTCTTGATTCGACACTGAGTGGAACGATGTAAACTTTTTCCCTAGGCCTCTCTTGTCCATCTGCCCAAGCACTGCATGCTACCCTCATTATAAGACAGCTTCCTAGCTCTCATGCAAAGCATGCGGCATGCACCACTAGCTGCCCACGTGACTATCTCCGAATCATCATTCTCTTTCTTGTCGCACACGAGTGTGGACGCATTTTACTTTGCTCAACATTTTCAACTTAGCCTACAACATGGGGAAGGTTGACCAGCCAAAGAAGAGGAAAAAATGCTCCCGGTGTAATAAAGTGTTCTCCGCGAGTGATCCACATGGGTATTGTGTTCCCGATTGGGACGACCTACTGTTACACCCTCACTCGGATCGGCGTCATGTATCCCTTCACACCCTGTCTCTGCACGTTTGGCGCATCTGCAGAAGTCCTTAATCGCCAAGGGGTAGTCACAGAGAGTGGCTATTGGCCATCACTTCTGCTCATCGGACTTCCACCCGCTCACTTTATGATGAGAAGTGGAAATGATTTGAGAAATATTGCACGTCCAGAGGCATTACATCTCCTGTTTCTACTTCGCCTCAAATTGTTGCTGAGTTTCTGCAGCATTTGCGGTCGTCTAAGAAGCTCAAGGGTTCCACTTTGGCCACTTACCTTGCTGCGATCAACTCAGTCCTGGCTACCACAACAGGCTCTAAGGTCTCCACGGTTCCTGAGCTTCAGTATTTGCTCCGGTTCTTCAAGTTGGCCGATCAGTCTAAGAGGTTTAGACCTCCTGATTGGGATTTATCTGTGGTGCTGCGTCATTTGGCCTCGACGGACTATGAACCCCAAGCTCAGAAGGACTTTGAGAAGATCTCCTTCAAGACCTTCTTCCTAGTGGCCTTGGCTACAGCTGCTCGGATTTCTGAACTCCATGCTTTGGACGTTAACAGAGTACAGTTTGAACGGAAGAAGCATGGCAAAGTCTTCCTCGGTCTCCGTTGGGATTTTGTAGCGAAGAATCAGTTGCCCGGGACAACCCGATCGTACTTTTACCATCTCATCGTTATTCACGATCCTTGGGCCGCATGACAATGAAGACCTGCAGCTTTGCCCTGTTAGGGCTTTGAAGAATTTTCTTGCTGCTTCTAAAAGATCGCCGCCGTCTCCGCAAGCGCCTCTTCATTCCGTTGTCCTTAACATCCAGGGCGGAAGTGTCTCGCACCACTTTATCCTTCTGGATGAGAGCCACCATCCTACGGGCTTACACCTTCGCTGGGTTACAGCCCCCGACAGCTTCCCAATCCACATGAGACACGGGCGTTAGCGTCTACAATGGCTCTGCATAGTAACTGCTCTCTCCACGCCATTATGGAAGGATGTTTCTGGCGATCCAACTTGGTGTCTCCTTGCACTACCTTCGAGACCTCTGAGTCAAGGATGTCCAAGGCCTGCACCAGTTTGGACCCCTTGTGCTCGCACAACAGCTGTCTACGGCCCACCAACGCAGATAGGGGACGGTCCCTCGCGGTTGCTGCTTCCCTGTATTTTCTTGAATATAAGTCTGAACTTGCTGTCTGCCTTATGTTTTGATTGCTTATGGGTTAGAACTACATCACTTAGTTTTTATACTAAGACACAGAGATACTACCACCTCGGTGGTTGGACGTATCTGGAGCTCGATTCTGTATCACGATGTGGAAGGGTTCGACTTTTCATGTTTCCTGACCTCTACTTTTCGAAGCAATTACGTCAGTGAAGTGTGTCACTCCCGAATTCCAGTGGATTTCGTTGCGTTCTGACTCCGAAGTTGCCGGGCACATCCTTTGACTATGCTTATGCAAAGGAGTGAGGGTCAATTTGATGCTGTTCCGGAACTGAACGTTAAAACTTGGAGTTCCCGAGTTGTGCTTCTCTTTCACCGGCCCCTGGTCGGTGTCTGTGGGGGTCTTCTTGAAGCAGGGGCTGGCCCGATTATTGTCAACCGACTTTAATTTATGGGGGTACCTTTGAAATCGTGGCAAAGTGACATACTTTCTCGCTGAGCTGCATCCTTCTTCGGAGGTTGCGGCCAAACACTACATTGCTCGGGAGCACCCATCTCCCTGGGAGACGTTGTGCTTAGTAAGCCAGGGAGTTCAAGAGAACTCAGCACTAGTATAGGAGTTGCGTGCATGCGTAACAGGCCTCCCTTGTGCATCGCTATCTACGGTCATTTCCAGTCTACACAGTTCCTGCTGCTCTCACTGTCAAGACACAGGGTATCTGCATCCCGCAGTCTGACCGTGGGATAAGTGCATACCGTGAGATAGGATTTTTTTTTAAATTTAAAAATTTTAATATAAATTGTATATTTATATACTTATCCTATCTCAAGCGATGGATTCGGAGATAGTCACGTGGGCAGCTAGTGTTGCATGCCGCATGCTTTGCATGACAACTAGGAAGCTGCCTTATAGTGAGGGTAGCATGGAGTGCTTGGGCAGATGGACAAGAGAGGCCTAGGGAAAAAGTTTACATCATTCCACTCAGTGTTGAATCAAGAGAGAGAAGTGCATACCGTGAGATAGGATAAGTATATAAATATACAATTTATATTAAAACTTTCAAATTTATACATGGATTTATCAAACCAGATGTGTCGAATTCCAGGTTGTTTTGAACTCGTTTTAGTGTCAAAAGTATTCAGATTGGACCTAAAAATCCCAAGTGACTCAAAATGTTCAACTTAAAAGATAATGTCTGCAAACCCTCATACTCACCAGCCTTTCGCCTACACCTCACTCCACACACCACTGACTCAACTGAATGTGACACAATTACATCAAATGCAGCACCCCTTCTAACAACTTTCCATTCCCCAATCAAGCCTAACTAAAGAGCATGCACATGTTACACCTGTATTGCCATGGATCCTCCTGTACACATCAGAAGCAGCTGACTGAAGTGTTCTCGTGAGACCAATGACACTTGAAAACTTAAGATTGGCTGTAACCATAGAAACAACCGCGTGCAAATAATGTTTCATTTCATCCCACTATTGGATTTTGTATCATCTTTCAAAGTCTTGAGTATATGTTTTTGGTCACAAGATTCTCCAATGTTGCATTTCAGCTGGGTTTAAGTCAGAGTGAGGCTCGTGGTCGGGAAAAGGACACAGAAAATAGTCGACTAAACAGTGTTATAGCAGAACTGGAGCGGGTCGTTGAGGAACAGAACCGACAGAAGAGAGAACATGAAACAGAACGTCGCAAACTCCACAACCTTGTGCAGGAGCTGAAGGTGGGCAGAGGGGGAACTGGTCTAGTTGGAAAATTATGATGCTAAAGATTTATAAATTAGTGAATTTGTGGTAAGGGTAACTGATGATGAACTAATCTTTTGCTTGGATGCTTCATCGTATTATCATAGATGAAATATGGAAGTAAAATCTTATGTACATTTACTTAATCACTTCCTAGTAGCCCTTTATCCCAGTCATCTAAGCATTAAGTAGAGTTGTGTTTTATTATATGACAAAAGTACTGAATACTGACACAGTCATGAATCTTCGTGGTGTCGTGTCTTCTGCCATTTTGATACAGATGGGACGTAACTCAAAACCAACACAGTCACAGGGACGAAGCGCTGCCTATCACTTCCTTATCTAGCGTGACGCACACAATGCGGAGTTCACAGCTGGAATATCCCAACTCTATTTTTAACCACGGGAGGCGCTTGGATTGTGATGTCAACCTCTGGCGACGTGGCGAGGTTGACGTTGCTTAGCGTCAAAGCTGTCATGTGACCAAGTGGGCCAATCAGAAGGGCGGAAATCTACCCGTCATATAATAATATGCTGTGTCACACAAGAATTGCAGTAAACGTGAATGTGATGTTTGTAGGTTAAACTCCCAGGTTCACCCAGGCTGTAACTGAGCACTATTGCCAAGCTCAAGACATTGTACCAGGTGTTAAACTTGGACGACCTGTATGGGTTTGGGATTTCCTACAACATGATAAAACTGATATGTCCGTATATAACTAACACTGTCAAAAGTCGCACACTTCACTTGCTTCATCCTTCCTTTCCCTGCAGGGCAACATCCGAGTCTTCTGTCGAATCCGGCCATTACTAGGAGATGAAACTCTTGTCAATGATGGAATGATCCACCATATGAACTTCCCTGACCTGGATGGGAGAGTCTTGGAGCTGGAAAAACTAGGGGATGCTTCTCTGAATGAGGTCAGTAGATATTGTCCACATTGATATCATTGGCAACATTTTCAAATCCTGAGTTGACCTGACAATGTACACTAGCCACATAAAGAAACTGTGCACACCGAAAATATAAATGTAGGCACACAGCGTCTTTACACATAAATACAGGCGTGAACACAGCAAGTATTGGAGACCATCAAACTTGCCAGGCGCGACGTGAGGTCATTGATGGTGGCCTATGGACTTGCAGTGTGTTACTGCACCTGCAGCTGCACACAACATGTGAAACTCAGAAATTGCTGTCAAAGCTTGATCTTTGGACATTCAAACGTTCACAAATTCACATGAGATGTCACATGCACATCATGCCAAGATTGACATCTGCTCAACGTCATGAAGCCATTGGAATGGTTCGAGCAGGCATGAGCCAACAATAGGTGGCAGCACATTTCCAATGCCATCGGAAAATGATATCTGCATTGGTCAGGCGTTATCGAAACACCAATGATGTCGCCGACCACCCACATTCTGGAACCTCCGACACAGGTTCCAGACGGCAGTGACCACGTCCCAGACCATTCCAGGACTGCGCCGCATCCATCCTAACACCATCAGGAATCGTTTGTCAGTATGGGATTCGACCACAACGCCCTACCATACAACCCATTCTGACACAACGTCATCGAGACAACCGTCAAAGATGGTGTCGAAATCATGTTCGCCAACCCTCGAATATGGCCTTCCATGCTTATTTGGTAGCCTCTACTGCTGTGCTTCACGCACACGGTGGTCATACCCGTTATTGACCTTGTGACTTCGTCGTGTGACCCCTAATCGATTTTGAACTTCTGACGTCATCGTCATTGTTCATGTTCTTTTGACATGTTGTTGTGGTCCGATACTTCACTTATAAAGTGTCTACATCATTTCGTCTTTGCTGTGTTGTATTCCAATTCTGAATGAATTTTCTGTGTGCACAGTTTCTTTATGTGGCTAGTATACTTGAAAGTTAAATGTGTTTAAGATATGCAACACTTGGGACTTTCATCTAGCATCAGGCTGACACGCTATGATGTAGCTGAAATACCTGCTCAACATGTGCCAAACTCGATCATGAAAATGACACATATGGAAATAAGGTCTACTTGTACCAAAAGATTACAGAGTTCAAGGATAGATTAACTCATTTCCATGAATAATACTTAGCATAAACCTTGCCATAATTAAGAATGTCTTCTAACTCAATGTAATCATTGCACAACAAGAACCAATAACTTGTTTGTTTCATTTGGACACATTAACTCATATATATAGTCTTGGGGTAGAAATAAAATATCTCCTTTGTTGTCTTGGCATGATACGGGGGGCTGGGGGATATTGGTTGGCCAATCAGTCTGCAAGATCTGCGGAGACTCTTTAACCTGAGCAATGCTGGCAGATATGTTTGTGACTAATGTGAGTGCATACAGTTACCTTTCAGATTTATACCATGTATACTGTGTTTCAGAGTTCTCTAGCAGCATCTCGGCGTGGACAGAATAAGTACGACTTTGCGTTTGACAAAGTGTTCCAGCCGGAAACCACACAGTCACAAGTGTTTGAGGAGATAGCCCAGCTGGTTCAGGTAATGCTTGTTTCATGGCACCCATCTCTACCCAGTGTTTGTCTCGTGTGACGAACAGAACCTCTTCCACACTATCAGCCCAAACTGGACAATTTGTTACTGGTCAATGGTGCAAGGTCTATCCATTAATATCCAAGCTGTAGGTGTACAAAAAACAGAACACAAGGCATTTATCTTTGTGTGAATGAAACATTCATAAGTGGGCCTTGAATAACAATATTGATGTTCAATTCTAGCACGACATTGTGTGATACTCGATTCTGATTGGCTGAGAGCTCATCAAAACCGTACTTAAATGACAGTTTAAGGACCGCTAATTAAAGTGACCGATTCACCGCGTATGAATACAACGAACTCGTTGACCCTATTGTTTGTAAACAAACATGTCAGACATCGGCAATTTCTATCTCGCCAGCATCTTTGGTGTTTTTGAAGTAAAAAGCGAATCGCTTGAAGAAGAATTTCTTGACCCTAATCCCAGTGAAGAAACTACAAAGCTGAAAAATCCGTCAGCAGCGCAAAAGCGGCAGTATATTCAAAGCGGGTCCAGATCTATGTGTGTTGACGTCGGCAACACATGTCGGCCCACACGTGCTAACCTGACCGCTTCTGTCCCGGCCATAATGCCCAGTCCTTCCACTTCCACTTCCACTGTCCATGTATCCCACATAAAATGTGGCATGTCAGGTCTTTTCCAAATTGGGAATAGTAGGGTGGTTATCAACAATTATTTCCGTGAATAAAGTTAGCGGCGACTAAACTTAGCGAGTTCACGGCTTGCATTTGAGCGAGTCGATTGTCATACAGTAGGGGAGATCAATAATTCGCTTGAGAAAAATCAAATAATTGTACTTGTTCACAGTATAAACTGTATTTTTTCTATTTTATGTATGCTACTTGTTACAAATACAAGCATACTGGTTCCTGAAATATAGCATTTATGTTGTTGAAAATGTCTTATTATCACAGAAAATATACAGATATAAACAGATAATATGTAACTAAGTTGAAGGGCTTCTTGTAAACAGCCTTCTGCGTTGGCGTATGAGTTTCCCAGATGTACAGGGGATGCAGCTTAGAATACCTCCAGTACTTGCTGGCCCTATCTTCAGTCACTAAGTCACTAGTCTCCATGTCTGTTGTGTTGGGTAAAGTAAGGTCAGCTGATAATAGTCTGCATATCAACACTCAAACCTGCTGGTTTGGGCTGATAGTCCAGCGTACTGCTGTATGTATCACAGCAATATACTGATACAGGGAGTTATCTGGGATGCTGAACTGGGCATTGCAGGACTCTGGTGATTTTGGGCTGTAGGAGTTTGGGGGGTATTTGTTGAAATGTTTATTTATTTTTGTAAGTTCCTACTTAAATTCACAGGTCTGTTAACGTTATATATATTAACAAAATCTCAGTCACCGACCTTACAAGTATCGGAAGTTTGTTGTAGGTTGCAGTACGCTTCATGCAAATGGTTTGTTTGTTTCAGAGTGCACTGGATGGCTACAATGTGTGCATCTTTGCATATGGCCAGACAGGGTCGGGGAAGACCTATACGATGGAGGGAGGCAGTGTAGATGACGACTTGACCATGGGCATGATCCCCCGGGCAGTGCAGCAAGTCTTCAGTACAGCCCGGGACTTGGAGGAGAAAGGCTGGCAGGTACATACAGCTGTAGTATGATACATACCTAGACTGAGTGTGTTGTACTCCAGACAACTGGACTTGTGTGTGTTGTATTCTAGACAACTGGACTTGTGTGTGTTGTACTCCAGACAACTGGACTTGTGTGTGTTGTACTCCAGACAGCTGGACTTGTGTGTGTTGTACTCCAGACAGCTGGACTGCAATGGACCTGTGTGAGTGTTGTACTCTAGACAGCTGGACTTGTGTGTTGCCCAAGTATCCCAGACAGCTGGACTTGTGTGTGTTGTAACCAGACAACTGGACTTGTGTGTGTTGTAAACCAGAAGCTGGAACTGTGTTTACTTGTGTGTGTTTTACTCTGTTGACAACTGGACTTGTGTGTGTTGTACTCTGACAACTGGACTTGTGTGTGTTGTACTCAGACAGCTGGACTTGTGTGTGTTGTACTAATAGTTCTGTCTCTGTGTGTGTTTACTCTGTTGTGTCACATGTCACTGTGTTGTGTGCACCAATTCACCTGTGGAGTTGCATCCCTTGGTTCTTGGGTTCAGTTCCCAAGATTTGCCCACAGTGTCCGTGCTGACAGTTTCAAGTATGTTAACAAGGAATGTATTTCTAGGTGTTTACAAGCTGTAACTTGTGTTTACTCTGTTGTGTGTGTTTACTCTGTTTACTGTTGTGTGTTTTACAGTGTGTTACTATTCTGTTGTGTTTACAATGTGTTCACTCTGTTGTGTGTTTTTACAGTGTGTTTACTCTGTTGTGTGTTTTACAGTGTGTTTACTATTCTGTCTTTACAGTGTGTTCACTCTGTTGTGTGTTTTTACAGTGTGTTTACTATTCTGTCTTTTACAGTGTGTTTACTCTGTTTACTGTGTTTTTACAGTGTTCACTCTGTTGTGTGTTTTACAGTGTGTTTACTATTCTGTCTTTACAGTGTGTTTACTCTGTTGTGTGTTTTACAGTGTGTTTACTCTGTTGTGTGTTTTTTACAGTGTGTTTACTATTGTGTTTTTACAGTGTGTTTACTGTGTTGTGTGTTTTTACAGTGTGTTTACTATTCTGTCTTTACAGTGTGTTTACTATTCTGTGTTTTACAGTGTGTTTACTCTGTTGTGTGTTTTTACAGTGTGTTTACTATTCTGTCTTTACAGTGTGTTCACTCTGTTGTGTGTTTTACAGTGTGTTTACTATTCTGTCTTTACAGTGTGTTCACTCTGTTGTGTGTTTTTACAGTGTGTTTACTCTGTTGTGTGTTTTTACAGTGTGTTTACTATTCTGTCTTTACAGTGTGTTCACTCTGTTGTGTGTTTTACAGTGTGTTTACTACTATGTCTGTCTTTTTACAGTGTGTTCACTCTGTTGTGTGTTTTTACAGTGTGTTTACTCTGTTGTGTGTTTTTACAGTGTGTTTACTATTCTGTCTTTACAGTGTGTTCACTCTGTTGTGTTTTACAGTGTGTTTACTATTCTGTCTTTACAGTGTGTTCACTCTGTTGTGTGTTTTACAGTGTGTTTACTATTCTGTCTTTACAGTGTGTTCACTCTGTTGTGTGTTTTTACAGTGTGTTTACTATTGTGTGTTTTTACAGTGTGTTTACTATTCTGTCTTTACAGTGTGTTCACTCTGTTGTGTGTTTTACAGTGTTTACTATTCTGTGTTTTACTCTGTTGTGTGTTTTACAGTGTTTTACTATTCTGTCTTTACAGTGTGTTCACTCTGTTGTGTGTTTTTAGTGTGTTTACTATTCTGTCTTTACGTATTCTGTTTTTGTTTACAGTGTTTTTACTCTGTTGTGTCTGTTTACAATGTGTTTACAGTCTGTGTTTACTCTGTTGTGTGTTTTACAGTGTGTTTACTATTCTGTCTTTACAGTGTGTTCACTCTGTTGTGTGTTTTACAGTGTGTTTACTATTCTGTCTTTACAGTGTGTTTACTCTGTTGTGTGTTTTTACAGTGTGTTTACTATTCTGTCTTTACAGTGTGTTCACTCTGTTCTGTGTGTTTAGTGTGTTTACTATTCTGTCTTTATAGCGTTTACTCTGTTTTTTGTTTACAGTGTTTACTCTGTTGTGTCTGTTTACAATGTGTTTACTCTGTTGTCTGTGTTTACGCTGTTGTGTTTGTTTATAGTGTGTTTACTCTGTTGTGTTTGTTTCCAGTACCAGTTCGATGCCTCCATGTTGGAGATATATAACGAGACAATCCGAGATCTCCTGAGTGACGAAGAATTGAAGCATGAGATTAAGATGACGGGGAATGGCAGCTCCGAGACCATTGTCACCAACCTCACTGTCATCTCCGTCAGAACAGAATCTCAGGTATGGCCCTCAAACATTTGTGTAAAGTGTAGGCTTTTCATCATCAGTGTCTCTCTCTGTCTTAACCTACCCTCCAGTACTACGACACCAGATGGTGTAATGTAATGGAGTATTGCAGTGTGTGGTGTTTAATGAACAACACTCAAATCAAATCAAAATGTTTTCACTGCATGTTTGGCATTATTACATCAGAGCTGTGAAGTAAGGAACAATGGCAAATGCCCATCTATCCAAATTAGAAAACATAGGGCAAATTCATGCTTATGATTATGTTGAAAGAACCATGACTTCTTTTGACCTCGACCGCCTGGTCGGCTCGGAATCAGTATAATGTGTCTGAGTGGGGTATTTCTGCTTCACTGCGGCATGGTATCTCAGTGGGCTAGCACTATAAAACCAGCTTCAGTCTGGGCTAGTACAAGCAGCCGCACATACACATACACACGCATGCACGTCGTCATATGAGCGAAATATTCTCAAGCACGACGTTAAACCCAATTTCACCTCACCTCCTTTTGACCTCAAGCCTTGTATTACTTATGTCTGTATTTAAGCTTTACTTCTGTATTAAATTGTGATGAAAGTAAAACTTTAAACATAAACAAGCTGTAAAAATGGTTGTTGTTAGTCAATATAACTTTGCTAATTAAATTCAGTGTCATTAAAATTAGAGCTTGTACTCAGAATCAACCCGTGAAGATCCGGGTTAGAATTGATCTTCAGTAACCCATGCTTGTCGTAAGAGGCGACTAACGGGATCAGGTGGTCGGGCTCGCATCCCAATTGCGTAAATCGATGCTCATGCTGTTGATCACTGGTTTTTCTGGTCCAGACTTGATTATTTACAAACTGCCTCCATATAGCTGTAATATTGCTGAGTGCGGCGTAAAACTTAACTCATTCAATCAATGTACTCAGAATCAATATCTCTCTGTGTTGATATCTGAGGATTCCTCCACAGAGGTTGCATCAGGTGATTCTGTTTTTATCAGCCAATCAGCCTTCTAAATCCTTAATAAGAGAACCAAGCATTAAGCCCAGGATAGCAGAGGAGGATAGCAGCATTCCTCTATTTTGATAACTTGCTTTATCAACCATTTGGTAACAGGCTTTTGTGAATGGAGGCCATTGTATTGTTGTTGAGATATTATACAACCTGTTGTTTCTGAACTTCACTGCATCTTTACCTAAAATGGAGTACCACTTAAGGCATATTTGAGTTGTGCATGGGCTTCCTTTTGTTATAATTAAATTTTTCTGATCAGGGATAGTTTGGGATCCTGAGCATCTTCCTTTTTGATTGGGAGGTCATCTGGTATGACCTTTGTGCCTGGAGGTATTCTAATTAAAAGATCAATCTGTTTCTGATCAGACTGGGAGAAACTGTTCTCACAAAACTGTGCATTTGTTTCAGTTGTGTTTTCTAACTATCCATTCCTTTTGGCCAGAAAGGGACTTCACATACCTTGTCTGTTTTCATAGAGAAGCTTGGGGTATGGTTCATGTATCGCTGGGAGGTGCCACTGTTCACTATAGCAGTTTTCAACCCACTGGACTGCCAAAAACTATGATTTTACTTCCTTCTAGGCTCATGGGTTTCACAAAGCGGTGTTTCCTTCGCCTGTTCAATGAAGCATTAAACAGAACTCACTCACTGGTGTTTGACCTTGAACCTTGTAATCAACATCTTTTGTAATAATTACTTCAGTCCTTTACTTGTCAAAACGTCTGTTTTCAGATCCACAAGTTGCTGAAGAAGGCAACCCACAACCGTGCAGTAGCAGAGACGAAGTGCAATGAGCGATCATCTCGGAGTCACTCCGTCTTCCAGCTCAAGTTGAGAGGCAGCAATGAGTTGACAGGGGAGAACTGTTCAGGTGAGCCACAAGTTACCATCTGTATTTATCATAGATTATATCTCCCTATATTTGATACCCCAACATCTGTGCTTGTTGTCAGTGACGACCAATGAGGAGCAGGACCCACTGAGACTCTGCTGATAGTCTTGTAGCATTGCCTTTTGGCAGTAGCAGAGTAGACAAGTGGTTCTTGGCATACAAATGATCTTTGTATGTTAATTATCTTTTCTTCAATTTGCTGGCGCACGTTTGTCCTGGGAGTGTTCACAAGAGATCTGCTTTATTCTTCCACCAGGTATCCTGAGTCTCGTGGACCTGGCTGGCAGTGAGAGGGTCAAGGACTCAGGGTCTGAAGGTCAAAGACTGAAGGAGGCACTCGCTATCAACAAGAGTCTCAGTAACCTAGGCAACGTCATCATGGCGCTGGGCAACAAGGTATGTGCGCCGTCTCCACAAGAACCCCAGTAACTTATTCATGGCAAACGTACGCAGACAGCAACACTCTAGGCAAATCAAACAATAAGCAAACTATAGCTTTCTATATCTGGCAAGATATCTTCAGCTGGAACTCCTGATGTAGGAGAGTGGGAAGGAAGGTACATAATTATACAGGTTGATAAAGTGTGGTCACCCGAAGGTTAACATTATAGCTGAAATGTGAGCAGTGTGATGTATTTGGTGGAACTGACTGATATGTGTGATGTTTCCAGGACAACCATGTTCCGTACCGAAACAGCAAGCTGACGTACCTGCTACAGAATTCGTTGGGTGGTAACAGTAAGACACTCATGTTTGTCAACGTCTCACCAAAGGAGGAGTGTTTCCAGGAGACGTTAAACTCTCTCCGGTTTGCCACCAAGGTGAGACCATGTGTGCAGAGCAGACCTTCTTATGTTGTTGCTTTCTTTACGAGATCCAAGCCAGGGCCTTGTTTCACAAAGCTATCGTAGCACTACAACTGTCGTAAGTCTATGTTACAGTATAGGAGGTACAACAGTCGTAGCGCTACCATAGCTTTGTGAAACGGGGCCCTGATTGGCGAGGGACAGTGTCCTTTCATGTGTAGTCTCATTAAAATCAGATGGCGTTAGCCGTATGCAAAGTTTAGAAATTACCTTGCAAGTAGACTTGGCATTGAAGGGTTGGTCAGATAGTGACCGAGATGTATTGAATCAGACAAATAGATTGTTCCATAATTTTATTGCATTTACAGTGGAATAATATGTTCATAACAATTAATGTTACTTTTGGGGATGCTCAGATTGAGACAACTACAGGGTTTTACATAGACTTTGAAAAATGGGAGTCATGGCTACTCAAAGAAGAAACCTAAAAATGTTAACCGAGTTGCATTGTAGAAGTTGGGAAGTATGATACAAACAAACTCTATGGATAACATCTTTTTGTTTCATGAGTGTGATGTTTCTGTACCTATTCTTGTACTGTTGTGCCTGCTTCACAAGGGTACGAGAATAATGTACCGATACGTTGCACTCACGAAATAAAAGAAGTTGTTATTCATAGAGTCTGTCTTTTATTGAATTTGGGTGTCATTTTCCAAATTTGTGAAAAAAATAATTCCATTATTAAATAAAACCCAGGCTGTGAAAGCACAATTTGTGATATTGTCCTGTGGTCGGTAATCTGATGCAGTGTATGGTTATTGTATATAGTGGAGGTATTTGGATTCAAGGTACACTTCTTTGACATGCACAGGAATTACATGTGGATACCATTGGTGACAATTGCGTTGATCGATGTTCATGCTGTTGATCACTGGATTGTCTGGTCCATACTGGATTATTTACAGACCGCCACCATATAGCTGGATTATTGCTGAGTGCAGCGTAAAACAAGAAACCCACCAACTAACCAACCATTGGTGATCTCCAGCTACTCTCAGACAAGTTGTTTATTTGAGAGAAATACATTTTTGGAGAAACAACTCATTTTGATAAATTTTTCGTCGAACAGACAAGCAGTTGTCCTTCTGTATAGTTACAGCTATTTCTGTTTGATTATTGCCTTGTACGCTCTGTGTCTCTGTCTGCAGGTGAACCAGTGCAACATTGGTACCGCCCAGAAGAAGGCCAAGTGAACACCTCTCCCTGTGAGGAGTTGTCAGTACCAAGCACCTGGTGTCCTACAGGCGGACACCAACAGTAGTGTGGCATCAGATGTCAAGGATCACTACCTCTTCTGAACAGAGTGGGCAGTGTTGAGGGACTGCTGATTATATTTATACTTCTGTGTTGGAACTCTCTCTACAGTTCATGGACAAACACAACTGTTACTTTAGGAAGGAGTTCACACACCTACACACTGTGTTGACCAGTGTCCAAGAAACAGGATAGGCACGGATATTCCTGTGATGTTGACCCAATTTTCTTGAAGTTCAAAGGGTCTCTTCATCCACATATAAACACACGTTCTGTTTGTGACGTGTTTTAGACATTCAAATACAATGACTACATTGTCAATCTTTCCATTCAAAATACTCATGATAGAGCTCAAAGTATCATCAACACCCAGTAGGTTATTGCTCATAAGTCATAAGAAACATCTCTCAAGAATATTCCTCTTCATGTTTTAACCCAGTTTGGTTTTACCTGTAAATATATTCCATGTTGTGTATTTATCTGTCCCTCATCTTGTCCTCCACATCTCGTCTGTTCTCTCTTCTGTCTCTACATGCTCTGAAAACTGCTGATTCAGTGATTCTATAATTAGCATGTATATAATAAGCTTAGCACAACTCTGTATGTGAAAGTAAGCTCACAGCTTGGAAAATCCAGTCTGCATTGGTACATCTAGAAACATGCAAACCTGAACCAAGTTCTAACTCACTTTTCAGGGATAATCATGCTAATTGGTCTGATAAATATCAATCAAATTGTTTGCCGATTGTCATGTCTTTAGTGTGTGTAGGTCTTTGTGCCATGTATTACTGTAGCACAAAGTGCATGAATGGACTGTAAAGCTGTCATATAAAACCAATTATTCATGGATTTTAGTCTCATCGTACATTTCATTGTCAAACTGTAATTACATTATTGTGATATGGTTATTTTAGGGTGGTATCTTTCTTATCATGTACATAGACAAAATACATTAAACAAAAAATGTAGTTTTCTACACATTGCTTTCTTCTTCTTGTTGTTTGTTTGCTGAATCATGACTGGAAGCTGGGGTCAGGGAGCATCAGTGCCCCACACCATGGTAGAATGTATAGGGCTGTGTATTGGCAAATAAATTGTATTGCAATAAATTGCAATTCAGGTACCCATATTGCAATTTATTGGAAGCTTATGTGTTTGAGAGTATGTGCCACTAATTGAACATGTCGATCCAATTTTCTACATTCTAAGTCCCTAAAAATATATGTTATGGTTCTGATAACAGCCATCTCAAATTTAGGTTGCATAGTCAGGCATTCTATTTTCTTTTTTTTATACAATATATTACAGTATGGCATTTTGTCATTGAATAATGAAGGAAACATCTGTTGTGAATAAAAGTCTGGGTAGATTTTAATTTAAACTATAAAGATAATTACAAAAACTTCATATATGTTCTTTACCCAATATACTGGTTCTCAGAAGAAATATTGCAATATATATTGTTTGAAAACAGTAGTGCGATTTACCGATAATGCTGTGCAATCCTAATAGTGTATAGAACGTCGGCCTGGAGAGGTATGTCAATGGTTAGATCCCCAGGCCAAGTCATACCAAACGATGTCTTTGTAGTTTGATATTAAATGTTTTACTCGGCTATATGACAGCTGTGGATAGTCAAGCCTTGACAACACAATCCAGTAATTGACAATTCACAAGTCCCGCTACAAGTGCTGACAAACCAGGGAAGGTATCAGCCAAACTTTAGGGTTCAATACTAAAAGATGATTTCAATAACAACAAGATTTGAGGTTAAAGATTCACATTTTATTCACAAAATATACATCAATGCTCTGAACATGGTGTGTTGGTGTGAGATGACTACTGTAAGACATAACTGCTACAGGGCTACGATGGAGTTGCAGCAACCACTTTCACCGACTCCATCAACAAGCAAAATTATTCTACACTAGACCATACAAACTGTACTTCCTCCTACTACTCTCACTACTGTCTCATCTGGAAATTTATAAGAAAAATTATTTTACAAAATTCGATAAAAATTGAACATTTCATAAAAAAGATAACTTTAAGGATCAGTCTCTAAATTTCTAAAAGACCAATTTAAAAGATGAAATATTGGCTGTTTGCAATGGCTTGTGGAGTTTGATATGTTTGAACAGTTTTACAACACTCAACATTGATGAAGGATGACACTGTTACCATGGCTGTCAAAATGACACTGTTGCCATGGCTACGTAGTCAGGTATGACATGAAACATCTGTTGCTATCAGCAACATTTTGACAATGACTGACAATCACCAATGCAACAAGACAAGTAGTCACTACAACTTAGAAAGAATCTGTCCATCCTGCTCCTATGTTCTTGATCAATCGTTACCATGGTAACTATGGCAATAATGTCCGCAACAGTCCCCACTTGTCTAATGCTGGAGTCAAACAAAAATTCAATGTAAGCTCAGGTGATTACTACCACTTTGTAAGGTATTATAATCTAGAGAAAAAAACACTAAAATACAAAATTTAGGATAACAGAGACATATGTTTAGTACTACCTGTATCATGTGACATGATCCACTGGGTGGTACGACTATCTCCAAATTGTTATTTGATGCTCCACACTCGGATACAAGGCCCACCATGGATGTTCCTTGTCCAGATGTATTTACTTCCTACTTGATGTCCGAGGAGCAGGTAGTTTAATTTTACACCGCTGTCAGCAGTATTCCAGCAATGTCACAGCAGGGGACACCAGAAATGTGCTTCATGCAGGAACTCTAATCCAGACTTTTCCATGATCCATCAAGATCATCATCAGGAATGTGGGGTGTCTGGGCTATCAGGTTTCAATGTATCAAGTGGTGGTCCCAAAATGATACTATGATATTAGATTTCATCATATTAAATTTAATACTGACTAAATGAAGAACACCTTAATGAAATCTGGAGGCTTTGCTGCATCTCATATAGTGATCCCATTAACTTACAGCAGGGCCCCTCCAGCACAGACAGACCATCATACTTCCCTGACTGAGCTGACAGGTGCTTGTGACGGTGATACAGATCTGGATATTTTAACATTTCCACGGTATATTGTGTCTTCTATAACGAACAAACAAACGTGTACACTGAGTACAAGACGGCTGACTTGGTGCATGAGGTGAGACAGCTGCATTATGTTGAAAGGATGATCCTTAGTGGGCTGCGGTCCACACTGGGTGGGTGGGGATCTTCCCAGGCCATGTGTGAATCATGGTGGACGACGATACATTCCTATCTAGATAACGTCCAGAGCAAGAGATGATGGTGATACTGCTTCCATAGGTAATTAACAAACTAAACAATCAATTGAAATTTTCTTATATTCATAGTCAGGCATCACACTTTTACAAATGATTCAATCATATTTCCTGTCTGTATATTTTAATAATTGTCAAAAAATTATGTGTAAGATGTTGCTATATGTGGACTGATTTTGGGGAACAAGCACATACCACCAGTCTGATTTCTCTCAATTAAGAACCATTTAGTCATAACACAGTCAGTCTCAAAATATTCAATCTCAAAACTGAAATCTGACCAAATTTGAAGACATCATTTTCCAAAAAGTATTAATTCCGTATAAAGCATGTATTGACAAGCCAGCTGCTACAACCTGGTATTTGAGGGGAGATAACTAGTGTGGGCATGGTACAGAGACATAATGAGGTAGATGACAAGTCATGGTGGTATTACAAGGGTGTATCTGCAGGCACATATAAACTTATGGAAATACAGGAATCACTGACAACCAGTTTATGGAGATATGAGAAGCGGATCTATATAGTGAAGCGCAAGGTGGCACACTGGATTGAGACCTCCTTCAATACCTCCTTGGTTTGTATACACCATGTTCCTGCAGCAAGCATGAACACAAGGCACCTGTGTGGTACACTTGTACATTTTTAACGAATGAATTTTGACATGGTTCCTACCAAGGCTCAGACCAATGAGCATTCAGATTACATCTACATTGCTACACAGTGCTTCAATTTCAGGCAAAAAGTTTGCACAACATTCATGCATGTGTCTCATTTGACTTCTCATACATGGACCTGTTTTATTTCCTGACTAGAACACAGTGAGTTTCTTACTTCACAACAAAGCATCCTTATTTGTGTGGAGGAACACGGTGTGCACAGACCCAGGAAGTGCTGGCCATCAACTACCACCTTCAACACAGACACTGCACTGTCACAACCTATACAGTATGGGATTCAGTTTGCTGAGATTCTGCAGTGTTCTTGGGAAAGGACATTGTGTCATTGCTGACAGTGATGACAGCTGGGATACAAAAAGTTTTCACAATGTACAGTGGTTGAGATTGTCAGTCTACGAAAAGGTCTTGTTTTCTACTTGGGAACAGAAATACTACACCGTCTGATGTGTTATAATGATACAAACTTGGACCACTAACAATACCATTAGCAATTAAAATACCAGTGATTTTGTGACACCATGTGTATGGAATGCATTATATTGGTGATATCTGAAGAAGCATGGCACACTCAATGAACAAAACCTAGCGCCAACGTTCAGATTTATTGTGATTTATAGGCCAGCATTGGGAGCGTCCAGTCTCCATTGTTGTCAGTTGAGTATTCAGTGTACTCCTTGCATGGACTGAGCACAATGCCAGTGACGTAACACTATTATGATTAGCTTGTGAGGGGGGCATACAGAAGACGTAATCAGATAAGAAATAGTCTCTGATGGAAGAAAGAGCTTATATGTTTGTAATAATCATGCCCAGAGCCATGACCATTACGTCACTGTCTTAGCAAGAACAATTTCATGCAGAGACAACTTGTACATGTTTTTGTCATCAATCCATCAGACACTATCACTAACTGTGGTTCATCCATATGATCTCAGGTTTAGTTAACCTTGCACTTCAAGATGTAGACTGAATTTGTTGGATGTCATGGACTTGCTGCTAATCATATGATGGGCAGCTTGCTTAAATTGTCTGCTACTACTGAATAACTCAGGAAGTCCACAGGTTCTCATTCCATAGCAGTAGATCTTGCCATGTGTCAGTCAGAGCCCATCAGCTACTGGTGAATCAACTCAGGAAGTCCACATGTTCTTGTTCCATGCCAGTAGATCTTGCCACGTGTAAGGCAGAGAACATTCCCACATAACTGGTAGAGTCTATCATGACATGCGTGGACAGGGTAGGTCGGAACCTAACCCTCCCTCTTCTACAGGTTCACTTCAATGGGGTCAATCAGGAGGTTCAAACTTCCTGGGAAGCTGACCAGCAGCAGTGTCTTCCTAGTAATGTCCAGTGTCTTTCTAGTAATGTCCAGTGTCTGGCTTCTGTGCTGAACACAGATCCAGGTTTGTCACTCAGACAGCTGGTATACAAGTCCATGGTGATGGCCGGAAAATCCAGCCTTGACATGCAATACCATTGGTCATTAGACATGCAATACCATTGGTCATTAGACATGCAATACCATTGGTCATTAGACATGCAAGAGTAGTTGTCACAAGATATACTGGAGTGGCTATGAGTCTTATGGACATGGCGACATGTAAATCAGCCACACATAGTGAAGAGCGGTCAATCACTGATGTTCCACAAGAAGTGTTCAATCACTGATGTTCCACAAGAAGTGTTCAATCACTGATGTTCCACAAGAAGTGTTCAATCACTGATGTTCCACAAGAAGTGTTCAATCACTGATGTTACTTGCAGTGTGTCAAGTCAAACATGTTCTTCGAAGAATGTTCAGTCAGTGATGTGCCTCGAGGGAGTTCAGTCACAGACATTCCACAAGGAACGTGATGTTCCTTGATAAGAGTTCTGTAACTCAAGGAACATTCAATCAAAGACATTAATGAAGATTTGTTCAACCACTGATGTTCCACAAGAAGAGTTCTATCAAAGAAATTCTTCAAGACGAGTTCAGTCACAGACATTCCTCAAGGAGCGTGATGTTACTCTAGGAGATTTCAGTCACAGATGTTCCTGGAGGACTGTTCAATCATTGATGTTACTGAGGAAACAATCAGTCGCCAATGCAGAAGCATTTATGAGAATGTTTTCAAAATGTCAGGCAGTGGGACAAGTATGCTGCAAGATGAAGCACTGTGATGACATGACGTGTTACCTGTGACGACACAAAGTGTTACCTGTGACAAGATGAAGCATTAACTGTGACGATAAACAGCAACACATGAATGTAAGCATACCTCAGCTAAGCAGGTTTCACGCCTCTACTGTGTAATTCAAACCAAATAATGAACATACTGCGGACATTCTAAACAGGTACTGTACCTCAGATCTAGAATGTTCTTGCTCAAATATAAGAACGGTTACCAGTAAATGATAGACTTAACACAAACACTAGCTGTTTTGTCTTTCAAAACAAGTGCAAGGTTAGAATTGCAAAGGATATTTTATCTATTGAAAAGTATTTATTTTTTGTCATATTATATAATGGAAAAAAATGCACACAACACTGAAAAAAACTTGATGAAGAATTATAGAGTGGTACAAAGTTTGCTGGTAATAGGATTGTGTTGATGAGAAGAACTCATTCTCTTTAGCTAGTTTGAGAGGAAGCTCATTTGAGAAAGCCAATTTGTATAAAGCTACATATGTTCACAAAATGGAAGGCTAATTATATCACTTTTTGTAATAACAACAAACAGACATCTTGAAGTTCTAGTCTTGCACCTGTCATATTTATTCCTATAGCAAAGACTGATTGAATAAATAATATACAATCAATGGGATGCTATGTTTCTGAGGCAAACAATACAAATTTCTGGCAATGGGTTTAAACAGTTAACCTTAATGCCCATATTATAGTGTCATCTCCCTCAATTTAGTTTCCATCCTGACATCATCATCATGTGACCTTGACATTTTATGGACCCTTGTCATTTGACCTTGACCCTCTGTAACCTAACATTGTTGTGACCTTGGCCTCATCACTATTAACCCTGATCGTGTCTCAAAATGACTTAGCCTTTGCTTACTGGCAACACGACCTTGTCCTCTAATGACCTGACCTTGTCACAAAATGATCCCACCTCGTCATTGATCTGGCTCCCTTCCACAAATCTATCATAGCCAAGTTGTAACACCTATAATAACTCCTGTAATGAAACCAATAATACACATGATGCCAAGATTGCTTTGAGGAAGGAAGCCAGGGAGATCTTATCATTGAGAAAACAGTTTCCTGGTGACTACCCATACCAGCAAAACAAGGGAACTATCCTAGTGACTACACAAGATGATATCAAGACAAGGAAGTACACCGAGAACTTTCCCCAAGAAGATTTGTGACAGTGCGTCGGTACATAGAGTTACATGCCCTTGTTTAGTGCTCTTTCTGGTTGTGCAGCTCCTTGCTGGTAGAGTTGGTGCGTCGGATGGAGACATTCTTACAGCCCACCAGGTGATAGAACAGGTAGGTGATGAGTGCAAACATGGCCCGGCAGCCCAGTAGGATAGATGCATTGCGAGACAGACTCCCCGTCCACAGCAGATGAAGGCCTGTAACTGTACACACAACACGTTAGTCATAACACTTGCATATAGACGCATACATGGCCTCCAGAAGGGTGCAGTTCTTACTGGATATATACAGGTGGCTATACTGGATATGTACATGACTTCCAATGGGGTTTACAAATGAGTGTGTATATGTGAGACCCTACAGAGTGTACAGATCAAACAGGGTGTGTACAGGAGGCCCTACAGGGTGTACACATGAGGTCAAACAGGATTATACAGGAGGTTTTTATTGGAAAGTATAAATGGGTGTACACATGAGGTCCTATAGGGTGTTTACAGGGACCCCTATGTAGTTGTATTAATGAGTGTGTACACATGAGGTCATAAGGCCTTACAGGATGTACTCATGAAACCCTACAGAGTGTATGCATAAGGTCCTTCAGAGTGTACATGAGGCATTACAGGGTGTATCATACAAGGTTCATGCAAAATATGTTACAAGGTATATATATATATACCCTACATAGTGTATAAAGGATGCCCTTGAGGCTGTACAAACAGTGTCGGTATCCTACACATCAAACTAGCAGACATTTCATCACAGCAAAATATGAGAGATAACCCAAGTCTTGGTATGCCATATCTGAGATAACCCAGGTCTTGGTATGCCATATCTGAGATAACCCATATCTTGGTATGTCATATCTGAGATAACCCATATCTTGGTATGTCATATCTGAGATAACCCAGGTCTTGGTATGCCATATCTGAGATAACCCAGGTCTTGGTATGCCATATCTGAGATAACCCAGGTCTTGGTATGCCATATCTGAAATAACCCAGGTCTTGGTATGCCATATCTGAAATAACCCAGGTCTAGGTATGCCATATCTGAAATAACCCATGTCTTGGTATACCATATCTGAGATAACCCAGGTCTTGGTATGTGATATCTGAAATAACCCATATCTTGGTATGCCATATCTGAGATAACCCAGGTCTTGGTATGCCATATCTGAAATAACCCAGGTCTTGGTATGCCATATCTGAAATAACCCAGGTCTTGGTATGCCATATCTGAAATAACCCAGGTCTTGGTATGCCATATCTGAAATAACCCATATCTTGGTATGCCATATCTGAGATAACTCCAGGTCTTGGTATGCCATATCTGAGATAACCCAGGTCTTGGTATGCCATATCTGAAATAACCCATATCTTGATACCATATCTGAGATAACCCAGGTCTTGGTATGCCATATCTGAAATTACCCAGGTCTTGGTATGCCATATCTAAAATAGCCCATGTCTTGGTATGTCATATCTGAAATAACCCAGGTCTTGGTATGCCATATCTGAGATAATGTGAGATACCCTACTGGTTAATTGTTACATAACTGATTGTCTACACAGTATGATGTGATAGGACATGGATGGATGGGAGGTGCATGTCATCTTCAGGAACACATTCTGGTAGGGGATACCGATCAGAGGTCTCTTTTCAGAGCTGTGCAATGGTAATAGGTACTCCATGTAGTCATTTCAACATATTAATGTGATGTTATACTTAATGTAAACATTCCCAATCTAAAGGAAAATATATCTTTTCACTTGAAACCTTCAACTTCGTTGTATCAAACTGGTCAAGAATACTCAAAAAAATCATTTTTGTAGTTCCTCCAAAACTATTTTACCTAGCCTACTGTATTTGAAGTGGGGGTGTCCTACATGTACAGATGCACTCTCTTTCAAACACACACACATGTTGACACACAAACACTCTTCCGTTGATAAGAGCACTGTCTGCTGTTAACACATATTTTTTACAAGACTACAGTCTACAATCTGGTGTAAAAAAACTACAAACAGAAAGACAATCTACAACCTCATCAACAAAACAGGGCAGTGAACGGCTACTTGTGGACACACAAAACCATGCAGGAAGCACACAATGGAGCACAGAGGAAAGTGAGTTATCTCCCCTTAACTGGAAGGTCCCAAACTTGGAGGCCAAAGGACATTCATGATACTGGCAATATCACAGCCCTCATACCATAGCGGTTATAGCTACTACATGCTACTGGTGAGGGGAGATTCCCCATATCGGCTACATTGTATATGCCATATAGAGGCAGGTATGAGAAGACTGTGACAGATGCCTGCTCTACTCTTCTAGTCCTTATCACCATGAAGCAGTGAGTGAGTGAGTGAGTGATGGTGACATAATACTGTAGCAGGTGATATCACAACTGATGTAGCTGTGCCTCTGTGAGTGATCAGATAACACCATGAGCTATCTAATGCTCCACAATTTGTTGTGCAGAGTTATGCCCCCTTAGACATGGCAGACTCCATTGTTTATGGGTTTGAATCTCCAATTCACCCTGTTTGTGATGGCGTGGTGTGTTAGCACCTTACCTACGATTTGGTTCCAGTGAGACGTGTCAAACCCACATGACATCCGGTTGGTCTCATATAATAAGCTTACACACAATGACATACAGATGATACTGTCCCCTGCTAACTCACTCACTCACTCACTGCGGTCAGCAGATCCTCATGTCTTGCATGGACCCAAAGGTGATGGGAAGAGTTCTAACCCATTTCTGTTGCGCGTCTTTTAATATTACCTAGTACTGAAACTGAATTATATAGTAATAGTCACACTATTTCCAGGAGGTTCTCTTTTAATATTACCTAGTACTGAAACTGAATGTTATAGTAATAGTCACAGTATTTCCAGGAGGTTCTCAGACTATCTGTACTGCAACCCAGATAGCATTCAGACGTTGGCCCAACGTTGGCAATGGTTTTGCCAACATTGCCAACATTGGGCCAACGTCCGAATGCTATCTGGGAAAGAGCTGAGCAGAAGCAGCTTCATTCCAGCATGAGACGAATATACAAAATCAGAAACCAAAATACTAGAATATAGTGAGAAACAGAAATAAGCTATCAAACTTCATCCACATAAATAAGGCGTATCTCTACCATTTTGAAACGATGTGATGGAAATGTGAACAACTCATCATGCATACAATTATGTTAGTAACCACGGTAACAGTTAAGTCCCTAGAATGGATCTAGTCCATAAATCCCACCTTCACAAAAAAACTATTTGTCATGGAATGTTCCAACAGCTAAAAAAATGGTAAAACTTGGTGAACTATTTACAAAAAACAAATACAGTTAACTTGTACTGTTATAAAGATGCAAGATCACACTTTCAAGTTTCTTAAATTCTTCAGCAGAATTCTGTAAGATGTAAAATATATGTGAATAACCCTTGCAAATACATTAGTGTGCATAGAAAAGTGAAATCCAATCATTGTTATAAGCTTGAAGTTGACATCAGAATGGATAGAAAATTAATCAGTCTCTCAGGTTGAGTTCCAGGAATGTGCCCCAAGTGTACATGATGACTTAAAGTGAGTGAGTGAGTTGGGTTTTACGCAGCTTTTAGCAATATTTCAGCAATATCACAGAGGGGAACACCAGAAATAGGCTTCACACATTGTACCCATGTGGGGAATCGAACCCGGGTCTTCGGCGTGACGAGTGAACGCTTTAACCACTAGACTACCCCGCCGCCCCGATGACTTTAAGACAGAGAAGGGAATCACTACACAGGACACGGCAGGACATTGATGTGAACACACAAGTGTGTATTGACCATTCCGTTCCCTCATCACTGAATGACAACAGGCTTGTTTCAGACTAAAATATTTTCCATTTGTGAAAAGAAATAGTTTTAAAAGAGTCTTTTTTTTTAAAAACATCTTCTATCAAAATATGGCCACACAAATGTAGAACATATACATGTGTGTAAAACGTAAGTCTGATCTTGCACCTTTAAGATTTTCTATGTAGTATAGATCCAGCCTAACCACATGCTATATACAGCTCGCTGGTGCTTAATGTGCATAATGCTGTTAACTGGTGATGTGAGATAAACTCATTTAACACCCCATGCCAGTGAACAAGAAGTGCACAGCGGAAGTCTGCAACAGAATAAATATATTGGTGAATACAGAGTTTAGGAACTGTGATGACAAGACATATCCATTACCATGGTTACATTAACCTGCAGTCACCAGGACCGAGATATATGTGTTGTCATGGTGACAGAGGAACTGCCCTGTCACCTCTTAAAGACTGATTAGTTGACTGGTTACAGCAGATCAATAACGTCACCAGTAAATAGATATGTTTGTGGTCACAATTTGAAGCGTCTCAGACAAAGCCAGACATTTTCAGTGTCTTAGTAGATCAGCGCCATCACCAACCCAAAGTGTTGTGGAACCAACCAAAGCATACTTCGAATGAACACATGCAGGGTCGAACAAAAGATCATTCAGGGTCCAAGCTGTGAAAGGGGAGATAATCTGAGAGATTGGTGTGACTTACAAACACGATTCCGTCAACGATAATAGCGGGCATCCTTTGACCTCCAGTGGTCCCTACCCATCATCCAGTAGAAATATGAGCTGAGAATTATCAATACAATTCTACAGCAGAACATCGCTATCGGAATGTAGGGCTGACTTTCACGAGCAGGAAAGGAACACGCTGAAACTGGAATGACACAAGGACGTACAGACTGACGGACATACAGAAATGACTGTCATGTCGAGACGCACAGGCAACAAGTCATAAACACTAAATGATAGGGTAGTTATTTAGTCACTACACCAGTTATCTCCCTTCTCTTTAGTGTCACCATAATTCCTGTTAAAAACTTACCTTACACTGGTCTACAGCAGTACCAACTTGACTTAACTCAGACTGGAGTGGTATTCAAAAGCCAACCTACCATTAATTGTGCAACTAAAATGAGAGACAACTTTTGAAAAATGTCGACATCAGGAGATTGGTGCTGTCAGGTAAACAGATCAGTGTCATGATTCAGTGTCATGATGTGTCAGTATGTTTAACAAAATAGTTGATGTTACTTGGGCTATGATGGAGATCCATGTTCACTGGCCAATCTAAACAAGTAAAAATTCCTGTTGACTGGCCACTGGCCTATGTAATAAAGTAATGTGAATTGTGAAAAATATTTCTGGGTTAACAATATTCATTGGGCCACACACATCTTGGTTAACAATATGATATATAAGAGAAATCATGGTTGAAAAGTGAAAAAGAATAAATAGACACATATACATCAGCAGTAAAGTTGTTTCGTCTTCAAAATGCTTTCTAACACCAGCTGAGCCTGTTTCTTTGCAAGCTATTTTATGCAGTTTTAAGCTATTGTACATTGTTGTAAGCTATTTTAAGCTACTGTAAGCTATTTTCAGCTGTTGTAAGCTAGTTCAAGCTGTCTTAAACTATTTTATATTGTAAAGTGTTCAGCAGAAGAAAATGAATATTGTTCTTCAGATTTTTTTTCTTTTGCTTTTCCTTTTTGCGTCCTGTAAGTCTGTAAATCAACCTAAACTTCATCTTATTTGATAGCTATGATCACACAGCTACTTCTATATGTTGATATTAGGAAGGAGTGAGTGAGTGAGTTAATGTTGCATTAAGCCACATCAGCAATATGGCAGCTATTCGAGGCTGATTTCAGGAAGGCAAAACGTCCATGTACGTGTTATGGAAAACAATGATCTGTTTAACTGCAGGTTTTGGAGTGCCCAAGAACTGTGCAACGGACAAAAGGCTGAACAAGTGCTGTGAAAGGGAGATAACTGTGAATTAGATTAAGATCATAAGGCCTTTTATTTTCCATAACCTGATATCTGGTTCACAAAACTGACCAACATAAGAGAGACCAAACTTGGAAAATAATAGACATGTTGTAAAAGTGTAAGTGATGTCATTTATTTGAAGGAGGAACATGTCACTTAAAACGGACGATCCCTCTAACAACTTGACAGTCATTGATGAAAACCCTCATCAACAAACACGAATTGTATCCTTGACATTCAGTCCAAATACTTGCGTGTGTGTACAAAGACGACATAATCTGATTAATACTAAGTCACTGACGTTCCTCCTCTAAACAATTTTTGTCTGTTATACTAATCATTTGATATGCTAAACTAAAAATTCACACTACATCAAATTTAGACCTAAAATCTTAAAGTGTTGATCACTGGATTATCTGGTCCAGACTTTATCATTTACAAACCGCTGCCATATAGCTGGAATATTGCTGAATGCGGTATTAAACAACAACCCAACCAACCAATCTAAAAGCAAAATATAGAAAATAAAAGGCCTAATGAAGCTCAATGTACTGACCTCAGGAGCTATGAACGGTATCACCACACCTGTATGTGGTACCAGGGTACCGCGTCCTACCATACTAGATACCTCCAACTACCAATGGGCATTTCAAGGACAGGACGTCACATTCATTCCTAACCTACGGTGTGGCTAATCTGATGACACACAGGACATTAAGATACAAGTCGTCTGTGACTGAAAGCGCCTACATTCAGGGAACCATGCAGGGTCGGGGACTGACACAGGGGATGGAGGGAGGAAAGGTGTGGGGGTGGGTGGGGGTGTCGCTTTTACCCATCATGGTTTCACATGGAACTCACGTAAAACTCACATTGAGCTCCTGTGCAACTATCTCAACAGCTCAATTAAAAAGAATCAGAGAATATATATTTCGAGAATCTAAAATATCACAACCAGACTATGTGTCTAAGAAATTACAGTGTCCTGCTCATAAATTTGCCTCTCAATGTTAGAAATCATGGCCCACTGCACAACAAGGCAAATAAAGCAGAGGAAAGTTTTCATTATGTGCAACTGAAGATTCAATGTAAACATGCATTCCAAAATATAATTCACAAAATTATTGATGAAAGTACCATATTGAACAATCTTCTCAACTGTCTACCATAAGGATGCTTTCTGTTAGTTGCGATGAGTGACAGGCAAGCGACACAGCGAGACTTACCGAGGGTTTGTAGAGAGAAGTAGATAACACTGGACAGCAGAGAGCCTCTGATGACATCTCGGTCCTGAGACTGGAGGGTGTTCCAGTGCAAGCAGGACAGACCTGGACACAACAACTCTCCATGAATGTGTGAGATGGCTCATTATGTTCACCACAGTGAGTGAGTGAGTGAGTGAGTGAGTTGGGATTTAACGCCGCTTTTAGCAATATTCAAGCAATAGCACAGCGGGGGGCACCAGAAATGGGCTTCACACATTGTACCCATGTGGGGAATCAAACCCTGGCCTTCAGCGCGACAAGCGAACGCTTTAACCACAAGGCTACCCCACCGCTCCTGTTCACTATAGAGCTATGCTACCTGTTGATTGGATGTCTAAAGCAACTCTGCTATATGTTCTCCATTTACCACTAATGATTTCATTTACCATTAACGATTCCATTTACCATTAATGATTCCATTTACCATTAATGATTCCATTTACCATTAATGATTCCATTTACCATTAATGATTCCATTTACCATTAATGATTCCATTTACCATTAATGATTCCATTTACCACTAATGATTCCATTTACCATTAATGATTACATTTACCATTAATGATTCCATTTACCACTAATGATTCCATTTACCATTAATGATTCCATTTACCATTAATGATTCCATTTACCACTAATGATTACATTTACCATTAATGATTCCATTTACCACTAATGATTCCATTTACCACTAATGATTACATCTACCATTAATGATTACATTTACCATTAATGATTCCATTTACCACTAATGATTCCATTTACCACTAATGATTACATTTACCATTAATGATTACATTTACCATTAATAAATCGTCAACTGTCAATGTAGTCTGTCTCCTACACCCTACAGAATAAATTAAAAAAGAAGCTGAACTCAAGTCTTGAATGATTGGGCAAATCTAGATTACATATAAACTTAAGTATTTTTTTCTGGGCTCCTTTTTAATCACATTTTTTTATTATTTTAGGTACCGGTATATATTTGAAGGTAAGTCTGAGACTAAGTGTCAGTCCACTATCAATAAACTGCAGTTGTCAATGGCAACATACTACTAAACAAAGTTAAAGAATGCCCAGTCTTGTTCATATGACTGAAGTTGTTTCATCGTGGCCATTGGTGTTCTGTAATTTCTCTTGGGAAGTTCTCATCATTGTCAACAAAATATTTCCGAGTTTGGTGAGATGGGAGCCAAGGAGTATGTGAGTCAGTTTAATGCCACCTGGAACCATGTATTGTTATATAGCAGACTGTCTGGTAGATATGTGTCTAAAGCGACAAGCAACTGGTCATGGATTAATGACTTCAGGAAAACCCTAGATGACTCGGGTCCTACAAGCCCAGACATCATCTTGGATGCGGACATGCATCTACAGTGATTCAACCTCATCTCGGCATATGCTCACTGGGTAAATTGATGGATTTCCTCTTTCACAAGTCTGTTTTTCTGTTGTTCTTTAAATTTTTAGGCATTCTGTGTTTGAATAGGTCGTGCAACCAATACTGGTTGCTAGGGGCAACATGTTGGAAGGGACAGTAAGGCAGAATGCCTTGCTTGATAGCTGTCATCATACCCTCATTACACGGAACAATTTCTTGTTCATAATATTGATCAGCAGATTGTCTAGTACTGGCTTGATTATTTACAGGCTGTTCTCACAGGAATATTGCTGAGCCCGGTGTTAAAAAACAAACATGCATTATGCATTAAAAAGGGAGATAACTGCCATCGGCTGCAGTGGTATCCTTCAAGTGATGCCTTCTAACAACTGTTGCATGTTTGATGTTTGACTTGAAAGTGTCTCATTTGTCTTGTGTCACGGCATTCATCATAAACATCTAAAATTTTCAGCAACAAAAAGCATGATCCATTTTAGCAGAAAAATGAAAACAAATTATCAGCTTTGGTAAGTGTTACCATGACAAAACTGGCAAAATTACATTGTTCCTGCAAGGCTGTGTGACAGTCACCTTGGAACTAAGACTACATCAGTGAAGTGCCAAAGCAGTATAATTCTATTATTTGTCATTACAGTCACCGGGCAGCTTCTGCCCGTCTCATCATCTCCCCATTAGATCTGGACATCTTCTTCATTACCGATCTTGTCAAAAATACACCAGCAAACTAACATGCCCCAAGTCACCAATGAGAAGCAAAGTTTGGTTTAACTTAACTATCACACATGATATCATTTCTTCCACACTAGATGTGCTCAAAATTACTTTACATATTACAGCTAAATAGATTGAGAACTGATACACATCCATTACTGGAAGACACAGTGTGACAGCAATATGGATTGCCTTGGCTGTGTCTGTTTCAGACTCCCGCCATAAGACACAGGCATTAGGAGGATGAGTTGGAAACGAAACGACTTATCTTCTTGTGTTATTGAAGAACTTTGCAACTCCCAGACAGTCATTTAGGAGCAGTCATTTATTACTAGACTGTCAGTTGTAAAGGTCTGGTCATATATTATAAAACAGTCAGTTGTAAAGGTCTGGTCATATATTATAAAACAGTCAGTTGTAAAGGTCTGGTCATATATTATAAAACAGTCAGTTGTAAAGGTCTGGTCATATATTATAAAACAGTCAGTTGTAAAGGTCTGGTCATATATTATAAAACAGTCAGTTGTAAAGGTCTGGTCATATATTATAAAACAGTCAGCTGTAAAGGTCTGGTCATATATTATAAAACAGTCAGTTGTAAAGGTCTGGTCATATATTATAAAACAGTCAGTTGTAAAGGTCTGGTCATATATTATAAAACAGTCAGTTGTAAAGGTCTGGTCATATATTATAAAACAGTCATAGGCCAGTCCATTATATGTAAAGGTTGACCAGTTCTCGTGCAATGGGAGCTGCAAGGCCAGCTCAGAATACTTGCAGGCTTCCAGTCAAGGCAATAGATACTGTGGACTTACTGAGCAATGCAGCGCCGTAGAGGCGGACTGGAAGTGTCAGGTATTTGCCCTCCTCTGTCTCGAAGGAGATGTCAAACAGATGAGCAGGAAACACCAAGGCCTGAAACAGTCAACGGAAATATCAACAGCAACACCATACAGCACTGACTTACAGCAACATCAACGCCAGCAACATACAGCAACAACATACAGCACTGACTTACAGCAACATAATATCATCCAGCAACATACAGCAACAACACACTGCACTGACTTACAGCAACACCAACACAATATCATTCAGCAACATACAGCAACAACATACCGCACTGACTTACAGCAACACCAACACAATATCATCCAGCAACATACAGCAACAACATACTGCACTGACTTACAGCAACACCAACACAATATCATTCAGCAACATACAGCAACAACATACCGCATTGACTTACAGCAACACCAACACAATATCATCCAGCAACATACAGCAACAACATACAGCACTGACTTACAGCAACATTAACACAAATATCATCCAGCAACATACAGCAACAACATACCGCACTGACTTACAGCAACACCAACACAATATCATCCAGCAACATACAGCAACACCATACCGCACTGACTTACAGCAACACCAACTCAATATCATCCAGCAACATACAGCAACACCATACCGCACTGACTTACAGCAACATTAACACAATATCATTTACAGCAACATACAGCAACATACAGCAACACCATACCACACTGACTTACAGCAACACCAACACAATATCATTCAGCAACATACAGCAACACCATACCGCATTGACTTACAGCAACACCAACACAATATCATCCAGCAACACCATACCCAATGACTTACAGCAACATTAACACAATATCATCCAGCAGCAACAGACAGTTACTATCAGGTCTTGGACCAGTTCCTCAAGTACCCAAACTGGTTAAAAACTTCCACTTCCCACATTCAGAATAAATTACCCCAACCCATTTCATCACATTACTTGTCACATATAACTGATACTCCAAAAACAGAACCAAAATAAAGGAAAAAAATGACAGTTTATATTCATTCTTCAATCCCATAACTGAGAATGACAAAAGATTTTGTATAACATTGTCAACGATTGGTGCATTTACGCAGGGGTGTGTTGCTCTCCATTTGGAATGGTGTCAGCGCAAATACAAGCGTAATCCGAAATATACAAGTTACATCTACATGAGGTTGTGCAGGCATTAGAGTGACTTTTGACCAAACTATTGTATTGTATAGGCACTGTTCCAAATGGTCAACATAATCAAATGTGTTTTTATTGGCAGGTTTTCTGAAGCTAGCTCAATGAGAAAAACAAATATTCTGATATTGGGTTGCTGCTAAATATGATCTACTGGACAAAGAGGAACACAAGAAAACAATGAAATTACAGCAAGAGATGACAGTTGAAGGTTCACCACATCAACAAGAGCAGTCATCCAGACGCAGCAGTACACACAGTGTTTGTTAGACCACTTACCCAGAGGGCGATGATGGTGAACATGGCAGCCAGTAGACACTGCCATACTCGCAGACCTTGGGGCAGGCGGATATACAGCTGGTCACTGTGACCCAGGATCTGACTTAACTGAAACACAGGGAAACTGAACTGAGCATTTGTTAGCAAACATCAGAGGTTAATACACACTACTGCCCTGGATAATATATCTCATGATCATCATTTGAACATTTTATGTGCACTTAAATTTTTGTATGAATGTTTTTATTTGAAAATTTGCCCGAAGTGGTCAGTAAGGAGGACAGGGTCTGTGGCAACGATGAAGTGAAAGTACACACTGGTTTGCGATTTTTTATTATTTTTTTTTTTAATTAAAAAACTACCTAAGGCTTTGAAGGTTTGGGTATTATTTAGTGGGAGAGTGTTTGTTGTGTTTCAATTGACTGTTAGTGTTCAGTGAAGTCAGGAGCACCATTCTGTCTTGCTTGCAGTGTAGTAAGACATGTTCGGGAGCTTCTATTTGGTTGCAGTGACTGCATTTTCCCATTTGGTGTTTTTTATCTCATATAGGTAGGAATTTAAGTTTGTTGGACCTGTTTGAAATTTAGTTATCACCCTGTTTTTAGGTGGTTATTTTGCTACTTTTGGAACATTTTGTTGTTTTGAATGGCTTTTGATTTGCAATGTTTAACTTCTTGGAGTCGTGGGGCCACATTGGCAGCTGGGTCGGCATGGTAATTGCCAAACACACCAACATGGGCATGGATTTATATGAACTACTTTTTTCCCAAAGTGTGTAGATCCTGAGTGCTTTTTAGTATTTGGTTCAATAGTTTGGGTTGGTTGATAACGGTGTTAGTACCTACACCGAAACGTCACACTCATTACAATAAAGAAGTTTTCCTTCATCTATACAACTTCTACAATGCCTCTCAAAGAAATCTCTGATACCTGAATGCTAAGAGCCTCTGATGACTGAATGGTAAGAGCCTCTGATGACTGAATGGTAAGAGCCTCTGATCACTGAATGCTAAGAGCCTCTGATCACTGAATGCTAAGAGCCTCTGATGACTGAATGGTAAGAGCCTCTGATGACTGAATGCTAAGAGCCTCTGATCACTGAATGGTAAGAGCCTCTGATCACTGAATGGTAAGAGACTCTGATACCTGAATGCTAGAGACTCTAATGACTGAATGCTAGAGACTCTAATGACTGAATGCTAAAGAGCCTCTGATGACTGAATGGTAAGAGCCTCTGATACCTGAATGCTAAGAGCCTCTAATGACTGAATGCTAGAGACTCTCAGGTGATATGACTCTGTTTCTCATGATATGAATCCAGTTCACAAGAAGTCTGTGTGTAAGAGTGACTGAGTCGGGTTCCATGTCGCTCTGAGCGGTATTCCACTGTTGTCATACAATGTGAACTCAGTGAAGAAGGACACCCCAAGTGATGCATGTCTCATATGTTAACACTTAGCGATGGCAGCAGTGAACACAGGTATAACGCTGACAAACCTAGAAACATAATCGAGACAAACATGGACTTGAAACCCAATGATCATAGGCTTCTGGTATGCCCAAGGGATGAAGGAAATTGTGGTGCCTAAAGGACTTCCAAACTTGTGCCTCTTTGCTGTATTGAAACATGGATGCTACACTGTGAATGTCCCGTAGTTTGAAAAATCATGCTGGTATTCTTAGAGATTACCACACGAGCAAGTGTGTCATACAACTTATACGAAACGAGTGTGAAATCTTGTATAAATACATAAATTTGCACAAGTTTCGTATAAATTGTATGACACACTTGCTCGAGTGTAATAATTTCTATATTATCCATTTTCTTTGTGTATATTTGTGCAGTAACACACGGTAAGAAAGTGTGACAGCCCTGTTCATTGACATCACATTCAATTGTTTCATGACATCATGACGATGAAGGACAGAAACAATGGTAGCTAGGCAAAAGTGATATATATAACACTGGGTATGTTTCACCATATGGGTAATAAATGTCCATATTCAACACATCTTACACTATTAGCTGCACTGACTGCAGAGAATCCATATCCACTGACCGAGCCTTAATGTGGAGTGTGATGCAGTGCATGTGAAGGCAATACATGTAGAATGAGGACAATTTTATGGATATACGTTGTCAAGCAAGTCGACATTAGAATTTATGTCGCCTATACAGAATAAAGAACTTTTATCCATAAAATTGTCCTCATTCTTCGTATCCTCAACCAAAGAAGACAATACATGCAGTCCACATGATGTGGAACATCCCCAACACAGACACTGAAGCTGTACACATTAGTAAATCAATTTCAAACAATTAGCTGTCCTCCACTGCTCAGATGTTGATCATATATTTGATTGTCCCACAGAAATTGTCTTTAGAAGCAAGAGTAATACAAAACCCAAACCAGGAATTAGTTGTCAGAAGCTTCATTCCCCAACACGGAGGCAGAACATGGGGAATACAGAAGGTAACTACAACAGGGACATTGATAGACAATAGAACAGACAGGAGGTATTACACAGTAACTGGAATGTACAAGACATGGGCCCTGAGTGGGCATATACAAGACGAGAGCATGATGTTGACAATAATAACCAATTTGACCAGTGACAGAATTAATGAGATATTGTTGCCAGGCATGCAACACCCTCTTCAAATGGTGGTTAGAGAGCTCAAACATCAGAAGTGACACATGTTGGCAGACATCCGGCCGGGAATCATCTTGGACAATACATCACTGCCTGAAACATGGTACCTTCCATTATGTCTCAACTAGCTACTTCCACAGCACAGAACACAGAGGTCTTCAAGTAAAGTGATCACCAAGTGCTGCTCATATGACAAATGAGATAAAGTCAAGACGTCTTTCCTGGCTGCACAACGCAATCCATCTCAATGCACACAGTACAGCAGGGACATACAGCTTCTCTACTGTTGTATAAAAACAAACAATGTGAAACACTGGGAATATACAGATACCTTCAGAAGGTATCCAGTGACACCTAGTCTAAAGAAACATGGGTATTGCTATCACTCCAGTGAAGCTATTTGTTCATGATCAATGTTTTGGCAATGATCGATCTGTCTTTGTTATATGATTTTGAATCTGTGGTTTTCTTCAGTTTGACAGTTCAATCTTCAGCCAGGCTTGCATTGTCACATTTGACTGACGAGGACAATGCAGTGGCATTTCTTACAGAGGCCTAATGATTTTACAACATGGCATAACATTTCAGAAATATTCAGCATGTTTATTTCAAAAACATTCAGCAACTGTTTGTTCACCAGCATTGTACAAACACTGCCCCCAGGTTTTTTCAGACAATGTTGACTGATGGTCAATGGGGACAATTATTTTGCCAACGTTGGACTGCTTGTTACGACAGCATTGATAACCAAGGTTGGTGCCATGTCTGTTAGTTGGGAAGTTGCTCATCATTCCTGACTCTCTTGAAAATGTCAGACCCATCTCCGTGATTCCCCTCATCAGTGCAGCACCAGTCTTAGCAGGAATCTATCGCGTGTATTTCCCAGGACAATTGTCCAAGTGGAATGTGACATTTCCACAGGAAGGACCATATTCAATGTCATGTGATTTCTGTGTGTTCAAGGTGATGCAAGTATGGAGGTCGCACTTCACATTTCCGGGGTAACCTAAGTGCTACAGCTGTGAGTGTATTTAGATAGAAGTAATGTTGATTGTGGGAGTGAAAGTGATGAGATTGAAACCAAATGTGTCAAAGATTGATGGTACTTGTAACTGGTCAAGTCTTTATAGACATTTACATGTTGGAGGAACAGTGGCACATCAAGTTCTTACAGACAACAACTTTTCCATGCTCTGGCATTACAAACAATACTAAACATATAAAATTACATTTGTGTAACCTGTCAGTGTAACTCTATTACATGCCCCTGGTAACAATGTGCAGACAAACTATAGAAGATTATGTGTAAAGAAGTCATTTGGAATCAGATTAATGTTGATAATAACAATTGGTTTCTTAATCACCTAGCAGGTGCTTGCACTATGAGTCTATGACAAAATTATAAGCAAGCCATTGCACATATATACACACAATCCTGAAAGTCTAGTGGAATGATGAACGGAACAGGTGAGTTTTGAGGAGAGACTTGAAAATGTCTTCGGATTTAGTTTTTCTCAGGGAGTTCTATAACTGGGGACTGCAAACTGAGAAAGCACGATCAGACATCGCAGAAGTAGACAGAATCAGGTTAAGTACGTAGAGTTCCACTGGAGGATCGAAGAGCACGTTCTGGAGAATACAGGTTGATCTGTTACTGCTATTGACCATGAGTATCAGTCAAGCTGAACTGTAGGCACTAGTGGTGTATTTCATTGTTCAGAAGTGAAGTTAAAGTTGTGCCTAAATCCACAGGTTGTGGGTTTGAATCCAGATTCACCTTGCTTATGATTCATGGTTTGTCAGCACCAACATTGTCATCATGGGTTTGATCAATGCAATGCAAGTTCAGATTCTGTATCACTTTGGGCTTGCCTCCCGTATTCGTGTAGTCATATAAGGGAAATACATTTCAAAAATGGAAGAACTCCACTCACTCAGTTGCCAAAATAATATTATCCAAGATTATTTCAGACTGCTTGATATTACAAGCTACAGAAATCACTGAGGACTCAGGCCTGCTAACATTAATCACAGCCCCCAAACCCAATACAAGCATCCAATAACTCATCCGCTCAACAGCTATCTCACGACATATGTCACTACACAGTGGTGAAGGAAGTCCATGTGGACCCAACATACAGGCATGGCAAACAAAACATTCCTGAAATACTCTGCTAATACAGGTTACAGTGCCGGTTTGCTGCAGACTGATTTATTAAGTACTGTCTGAGATGTGGGGAGAGAGGTTAGCCAGCCTGGAGAATGAATCACTGAAGGGGATGCACTTCTGAGTGAGTGAGTGAGTGACAGAATGAGTGAGTGAGTGAGTGACAGAGTGGGTGAGCATTAGCATTCCTGAGGTTTGCACTTTGTTTCATAATACAACATCTAGTGAGTGTGACTTGGAAAAATATAAGCTATTCAAGTTTACAAAACACTTTTGCCATGCATTGAGCTTGACATATTACTTTCAACTAATCATATGCATCAACAATGAAGCCTCTGCTATAAGAGAGTCTGGCTACTACAATATCTTATGATTCAAATACTGCAAAGGGCTAATAAGGCCAGACCAATTTTATTTCTTGTTTTACGGATTTTTGTCATCAGACAACCTAAAGGCAGGAGGAAAAAAATATATATATACATCACCAGTGAAAGTAATATTCCTTTTAAATACTAAAAGTAGTTTACTTTTGGCAATTTATGAATTGTATATAGGTCAACAAACAACCTAAATATTGTTTTTTTGTAAGTTTACATTTTTGGCCGAGAAAAACACTAGGATTTTATTTTTTGAGTGGGGAAAATTAATTTATATTTTTTTCTTATTCTTGAAAAAATACAACCGGTGGATACGTAAAACAAGAAATAAAATTGGTCTGGCCTAACACAGAAACTACTGACCTTTGACCTGTGAACATCGCCATCATCTGTTTCGCCAACACCGAGGAGTTTGCGGGTTTTTAATCGACTGTGGAGGTCCCCACTACTGTGTTTCCTGAAACACGGAGAAAACAAGGTGAACACAAGTCAGTTAGTGAGTCAGTTGAGTTTTATGTCATTTTACTATATTCTGGAACATTACACTTTGTGCCTTGTACATTGTTGCCGGGAATCAAAACCAGATCTTTAGCATATGGAGCTGATGCACTAGTAGGCTAGCCCACTGCTGTCTTCAACAGCAACAACATCATCATCATCATCATCATCATCATCATCATCATCATGAAATATCTGACATATCAATGTTACAACAAGTGTTTGCCACTGAAATGGCAATGTCCCCACAGCTAAAGAATGGAATATCTATATTTACTACTTTTATTTTTGGACACATACAAGATGCCTGAAATGACTGGTGTCTGCATAATTACCCAATGTAGGCTGTCAACATAATTGAACTCATTGGGTGCAATGTTTTATGAGATATCATGTTTAAATAAGTTTGAAAAGCAGTCAAAGTGTCGTGGTGACCTTGAAGATATGGTCAAGGTCACCCAAATCGACTGGTGTCTGCATAATCCCCTAATGTAGTCTGTCCCCAAATTTGAAGACATTGGATACAAGTGTCCATGAGATATCGCTTTAACAAGAATTGGGTCGTACGGACGCCGTTGAATACATGTAAAATACCACTCAAAGAAATGGTCACAGTTAACGGGTCCGTTGAGTGATATGTCCACACAAGAACATGACTGAGTGGTTAAGTTGGATTCAGTATGACTGAGCAGTATACGAGTTATATCACTGCACGTCTACTAGAAGTACATGAGGACTGACGTGATGAAGGTGTTGGACCTATATCACTTGGCTGAAACCACGAGCATGGTGCTGGTGCTGACACACCTCGAAACATGATATGGGCAAACTGGGATTTGAACAGACAATTATAGGTTTCTGGTGTGCCCAAGTAATGTAACTGCGCACAGCAAAGTGCAGACCCTTAATCTAATGGGCCTCCTTTGACTAACATCTTGTCTCTGAAATGAACATATTTTACAGAAGAAATGGTTAATAAATCATAATGATATATAATAAAGGACATTCATCATTTTCAGGACTTGCCACACATTTTAGACTTCCATGGACTTTCTTGGATAGATTTGTTTCAGTCAGACTAGGGTCCAACCTGTGCCCCCTACAAAGCTTTAACAAAACAGTGAGCGAGTGAGTTTAGTTTTATGCCACCTATAGCAATATTCCAGCAATATCATGGGGGGGGAAGACACCAGTAAAGGGATTCATACATTGAACCCATGTGGGGAGCGAACGCTTTAACCACTAGGCTACCCACCTCCCCTTTTAAATAAGTAACAAAAATCTCACCAACCACACTATACCATTGTTTATATAACTACAAGGGCCTTGATCAGGACTTAACTTATATTTACTCATCTTACATGTACAATGTGATGCTAAGGTGCCGTATTCAACACAAGAAGCATCTGAGACTGGATAGGTTAATCATGGGACTACAGGCTGCAACTGTACAGCAATTTGTGTTGCCTCTGACAAATGGGGTACATATGCCTCTCCAGTGGACTCTCAGCACACAGATTGGTAGTTAATTAGACAGCATAAGGATCAGACAGTCATTAACTGTCCATATCCACCGGCCATCTCACGAAGAGTGGAGGTCACTACTAGGTCAGACACAGACCTCTGGTATTGGTGCCAACAGTAGGAGATCCATACTTTAAACAAGGTGGGGGTGGACCCAAGTGGAGAAATAACACTGGACAGAGGGACAGACATATAGTTGACATGTAAGGTGTCTCAGGAAACACAGAGGGACCGGCACTGACTAGATGTAAGTTGACATGTCTGGAAACACAGAGTAATGTGATCAACACAGTTGACATGACCGACACAGTTGCATGTCTGGAAACACAATGTGTCTGAATACACAGTAGGTTGACACAGACACAGTTGACATGTAAGGTGTCTGAAAACACAGAGGGACCGAACACAGTTGACATGTAAGGTGTCTGAAAACACAGAAGGACCAACACAGTTGACATGTAAGGTGTCTGGAACACAGAGTGACCAACACAGTTGACATGTAAGGTGTCTGGAACACAGAGTGACCAACACAGTTGACATGTAAGGTGTCTGGAACACAGAGTGACCAACACAGTTGACATGTAAGGTGTCTGGAACACAGAGTGACCAACACAGTTGACATGTAAGGTGTCTGGAACACAGAGTGACCAACACAGTTGACATGTAGGTTGTCTGAAAAGACAGGACCAACACAGTTGACATGTAAGGTGTCTGAAAACACAGAAGGACCGACACAGTTGACATGTAAGGTGTCTGGAACACAGAGTGACCAACACAGTTGACATGTAAGGTGTCTGGAACACAGAGTGACCAACACAGTTGACATGTAAGGTGTCTGGAACACAGAGTGACCAACACAGTTGACATGTAAGGTGTCTGGAACACAGAGTGACCAACACAGTTGACATGTAAGGTGTCTGGAATGTAGGTTGTCTGACAGAAGTGACCAACACAGTTGACATGTAAGGTGTCTGGAACACAGACATGTAGGGTGTCTGAAACACAGGACCTGGAACACAGTTGACATGTAAGGTGTCTGTCTGAAACACAGAAGGACCAACACAGTTGACATGTAAGGTGTCTGGAACACAGAGTGACCACAGTTGACAGTGTGACATGTAGTTGGTGTCTGGAACACAGAGTGACCAACACAGTTGACATGTAAGGTGTCTGGAAACACAGAGGGACCAACACAGTTGACATGTAAGGTGTCTGGAACACAGAGGGACCAACACAGTTGACATGTAAGGTGTCTGGAAAACAGAAGGACCAACACAGTTGACATGTAAGGTGTCTGAAAACACAGAGGGACCAACACAGTTGACATGTAAGGTGTCTGAAAACACAGAGGGACCAACACAGTTGACATGTAAGGTGTCTGAAAACACAGAAGGACCAACACAGTTGACATGTAAGGTGTCTGGAACACAGAGTGACCAACACAGTTGACATGTAGGTTGTCTGACCAACACAGTTGACATGTAAGGTGTCTGGAAACACAGAGGACCAACACAGTTGATGTAATGTAAGGTGTCTGGAACACAGTCTGAAACACAGAGTGACCAACACAGTTGACATGTAAGGTGTCTGGAACACAGAGTGACCAACACAGTTGACATGTAAGGTGTCTGGAACACAGAGTGACCAACACAGTAAGGTGTCTGAAAACAGAGAAGGACCAACACAGTTGACATGTAAGGTGTCTGGAAACACAGAGGGACCGACACAGTTGACATGTAAGGTGTCTGGAAACACAGAGGGACCGACACAGTTGACATGTAAGGTGTCTGGAAAACACAGAAGGACCCAACACAGTTGACATGTAAGGTGTGTCTGGAACACAGAGTGACCAACACAGTTGACATGTAAGGTGTCTGAAACAGAGTGACACACAGTTGACATGTAAGGTGTCTGGACCAGAGTGACCAACACAGTTGACATGTAAAGGTGTCTGGAACACAGAGGACCAACACAGAGGGACCAGAGGGACACAGTTGACATGTAAGGTGTCTGGAACACAGAGTGACCAACACAGTTGACATGTAATGGTGTGTCTGAAACACAGAGGGACCAACACAGTTGACATGCAAGGTGTCTGGAACACACAGACATGGGTGTCTGGACAGACACAGTTGACATGTAATGTGTCTGAAAACACAGTTGACATGGGTGTCTGACCGACACAGTTGACATGTAAGGTGTCTGGAACACAGAGGGACCGACACAGTTGACATGTAAGGTGTCTGGAAAATAGAGGGCGATCTAGTTAACATGTAAGTCATCTGGACACCAGGGACAATTTCAGTGACAAGTAACCTGACAGTCACCAAGCACAAGGGACATTACAGTGACAACCCACGGTAGACGTGTACAGCTGACAATTACCAACTGTCGTTGCTGATAAGGTTAAACTTCCAGCTGTATTTGAAGGATAATTACAACCGCTCCACTTTAATCTGAATCACGACTCTCTTTGTAATTACTTGGTCTACAGACCCTTTTACAAGAAATGTTTTAGTCAGTGGGAAAAAGAAAAGAAAAGAAATAAATAAAACCTTTGTTATTTAATGTAAGTGTCAATTGTATGATTCTGACTTTATCATGAATAACTAAACTAAACATGTTTTACTTAATCTGAATATAAAGAGTTGGCCAGGAGTAATAACAAACCCCCACCAATGTGACATGACAACTTGCTGCCATGGTTACTGACAGTTACTACCTGTCTTGTTTATGGTGGTCCAGTATTGAGTGTTGAACTATTTGAGACTTCGATCTCGTGGCCTATCTGAATACCTCAGGGAGGGAAGTCAACTGGATTTTTCGACGAGGTGCCTGGTTAAGTGAACATTGAGCAAAGTGGATATATGATGCTACAAGTAAAACGCAAATATTATGATGACAACCTCTTCTTTCTTGTATGTCACAACGTTTCAGGGCTATTCCTTGCCCCTTCGTCAGGTGAATATGCCTCTCAAGAACCTCATGATGCTACAAGCCCAACACACATGGACAGGCTTCATCACACTTATCTACAGACCTACAGCCTCTGTGTTGCTGTCTGCCTTGATGTTTGCCTTGATGTTTGCTGACACCTTCTCACCACACCAGTCAGTGACAGGTGGTTGTATGAGGGTTGTAAATGGTTCTTTACAGAAGTGTTCTACTCTAAGTGTTCTACTCTGATCTAATAAGCAGTGCTGTTTGCTATTTTATTGGATGCATGTAAGGATGGATTTAGGTAAAGATTAAATACATCTCTACTTCACTACACATAATTCTACTTGGCCTGGAGGAAAGTCGCATTAATATTGAGTCGTGCTATTAGCTGGAGGCAAACAGTCGCATTAATTTGGAGACGCCATTAATTCAAAGATTTACAGTAGATTGGATAGAGTCCAGAGCTGATGGACAGGCAGATGGACAGATGGACAG